TATATGAATGTAATCTCTTTTTATTGATTGATTGATGATTAATTTATCGCTGATTATAGATCCAGCTAGTAGTCCAGTTTTCATGGGTCTTAAGAATAGCCTTGCTTAGGGATACAGGATACAGAACACAGTATAGAGGATATAGAATAAAAATACAGGATAATTAAAATATGGATATGAATTTTGGGGCACAGAGTTTATGAAAAAGGATATCTAAATATTTAACTGTATTCTGTATCTATTGATACATTATACAAAATTAAGGATTTAGGTTACAGAATAGTGGATATAGTATGTAAGATTGTAAGATACCGAATATTGTAAAGTAGAAAATATACAAGATATTTAAAATCCTATAATGAAAAGAATATCGGAGCCAGGTATATGTTTTTCTGCTAATACCTCTTTCTTTGACAATTAGTTAATATCTAATATTACTTATTATTTACACAAAATGAGAGAAATCTGAAACCATGCATTCTCTATATTTTTATCAATGTCTGTATATCTAATCCAATACAACGAACATAGAGTTAAACATCGCTTTTAAATTTTCATCTGTTTTAAAAAAAATATAGTTTCCTTAGCTTGAATAAGACTTCATAAAAACTGCGAATTCCAAAATAACGAAAATGACGATATCCCGCAGGAGCCTGAGAATCTCAGGCTTGCTCCTATTATAATTTTTTAATTTTAATTTTGCATTTTTAATAGATATAATAATTGATAATATAATTACATATAGTCTGTATAGTCCGTATACGTCACCATTGTCACGTGGTACAGACGGAAATCACGTGACCAGTATACTGCACTGCCATTGGCTGAAGTTCTGGTGACGTAATACGGACAATATGTAATTATATTATCAATTATATCTATTAAAATGCAAAATTAACAAATTATTATAGAAGCCAACCTGAGATTCTCAGGCTCCTGTGAGATATCGTCATTTTCAGATTGCGTATTTCTTGAATATGATCTCTTTAATACTACAACTTTATCGAAATTGCATATATATGAATTTTCGTAAAGATTTGACACAGTTTTATATTAATTTCTCGAGACAGAAAAACATCATATAGATGTCTTATAGGTATCGTTCAACGCCTGATATTCTCAGGTTTCTATACCCCCTTTCATTTTTCCTTTACAGTCCCTTTAATTCCTTGTATGAGCCTGTGAAAAGGGTTGTAAGGGTTGCTTAAAATTACGTTTTTTGTTCCTTAAAATGTCATAGATAGTCCTTTTCGGGGGGAAATATTTTATAATAAATGTAACAGTAATGTAAACAGTATTAAAACACTATTCTTATTTAATCAATATTTTCAATTAAATATTTTGCACAGTTTCTGATATTTAAATAGAACTAAACTTATTTTCTTTCATAATTTAGTCATAGTAATTATTATTAAAATATTTTAATATTTATTTAACCCCGTTTCTAAAAAGAAGCCATAAAATATTCTCACTTCCCCTTCTATATTGTATAATATATATATATAAAAAAGTTATCGGGAAAAATATAGACATATATTTATTACTTTTAAAAATTGCACAAAGGAATTGAGTCTCTTCCACAAACTCAAACTTTTAAACCTCTATTTCTTTTTCTATCTAATAGCGTAATCCTTTGATATTTCAAATTTAGACTATTTGATCTAACAGAATGCATAGTTTGAAATATCTAAGGTCTACGACATTTGGCTGAGAAGATATAAAAATGAGAAAATAAGATTTTATTGTAAACACTCATTTCCTTGAAACTTTTTAAACTTACAAACCAAAAATGAAACAATAGTGATTTTTATGGCAAATAACAAGAGGGGGGGGAAATCTCTCAGAAGTATGTTGATGATAGAGTAGAGAAATCTTATGAATTGAATATCCCCCGGGGTTCTGGGGCCTGGACCTGAAAGTTTTATAATAAAAATCAATCAATAAATGAATATTGATTTCATCTTCAACTCATGATTCACTCCACTGATAAACTTTTTATTTTTTAATAACCTAGAATTATATTTATATATACATTTTAGTTTTTAAACTTAACATTTTATAAAAAAAGAATTATGCTTAACATAATGTTTCACGTCTCATGACGATCCTCAGTAGTCAAAATTCTTTGATATATTTATTCACAGATATGCCCAGAAGGATTTACAAAGAGATAAACTAGGAGTATATATATTATATCTATATCTATATAATAAAACAAGACATTCATATGTATGTTGCGTATAGCCGGCCAAACGGCTTGACCGATTGGGCTGAAATTTTTTGTGGACACTCATGGGTGTCATAAAAAAAATTCAAAATATTTTTAAAATTTTTTTTTCTTTGCCTAATCATTAAATAACCCATTTAAAGACCAAATTCAAGGCTAAAGACTTTATTTTAACTTGGAATCTTCCCATTTGAAAAGTTTAATGTCGTCTTTACATTCTCATTCTTTGTGGGTAGCCTTGTATATGAATGTATACCCCGGAGGTTTTATAGAGAGATAAACTGACGGACTTAAGCACTATAGGAACCAAGCACTTAAATAACTTTATTCCCTCTTTATATACTATACATTATTTAATATACAAAGATTGTGGGAAATTTTTCAATGACAACGCGGGTTTAATATTAATGTTGCAAAAAAATACCGGAACATAAAAAGAATCAATATATAAATATACTTAATGCTAGATAGAAGCCATATATATACTTCTTACATGATACTACAGCCAATAAAGAGATAATTATACAATATTTATCAATAGTTTATATTTTAGAGACTTTTTTTACTCGTAGCTTTGATCTATTCGCAGAATATTTTCAACATTTTTTATTAAAAAAAAAGATCTATTATTATTCAATATCAGTTTTAAGCATGGGTATTTATAAGGATGGGGAAGGTTCCGCTAACGAAAGGCATTTTTTTAAATAAGCGGAAGAGGTTCCTTTAACGAACGTTATTTTTTAAGATAAACGGAAAGTTCCATTAACGAACGACATTTTTTTACATGATTCCATTTACGAACGGTATTTTTTTTAGATAAACGGAAGGTTCCGTTGACGAACGGCATTTTTTTAGAGAAATAGAAGGTTCCTTTAACAAACTGCATTTATTTAGATAAGCGAATGGTTCCATTAACGAATGTGATTTTTTAGATGAGTGGAAGGTTCCATTAACGAACGGCATTTTTTGGATAAGCGAAAATTTCCGTTAACGAACGGTATTTTTTAGATAAACGGAAGGTTCCATTACCGAACATATTTTTTTTAGATAAACGGAAGGTTCCGTTAACGAACGTTTTTTTAGATAAACGGAAGGTTCCATTACCGAACATAATTTTTTTACATAAGCGGAAGGTTCCGTTAACAAACAGCATCTTTTTATATAAACGGTTGGTTCCGCAATGAATGGCATTTTTTAGATAAACGGAAGGTTTCATTAACAAAAGACATTTTTAGTAAAAGTGAGAGGTTCCGTTAACGAAGGGCATTTTTCTAGATAAGCGAGAGGGTCCGTTAACGAACAACATTTTTTTAGAAAAACGGAAGGTTCTGTTAACGAACGGCATTTTTTTTAGATAAACGGAAGGTTCCGTTAACGAACGGATTTTTTAGATAAAAGGAAGGTTCTGTTAACGAACGGCATTTTTTAGATAAACAGAAGGTTCCGTTAACGATCGGAAAAGAGATAACTTTGAGATCGTTAACGCAGGGTAACTGCGAAATAACGCATAACCAGTGAACTGAACTGTTTAGTTTTTTTGTTAAGAAAAGTTGGTCCGTTCCGTTATTTTAACTAACTATTAACGAACTGGTTGAAAAAGTTCAGCACTAGGTTCTTTTAAGCATAACGAAGATAAAAAAGGATTTTATTGAGAGAAAAATATTGAGGTTTCATACACATAATCTTTAATTTTGAGTAAAATGTTTTGAAATAAACAAATTATATTCATTGTTATGAATATAATATATTTATTCCAGTGTCTGGGATTAAACGTTGGGAATATAATATATATATTCCAGTGTCTGGGATTAAATGTTGGAAATATAATATATATATTTCAGTGTCTGGGATTAAACGTTGGGAATATAATATATATATATATTTCAGTGTCTGGGATTAAACGTTGGGAATATAATATATATATTTCAGTGTCTGGGATTAAATGCTGGGAATATAATATATATACATTTCAGTTTCTGGGATTAAATGTTGGGAATGTAACAGTGCGTATGACAAGAGATGTGGGGATACTTTTGAAAATATAACAACAGAGTTAGTGGACTGTGATCAGGTAAATATATTTATTTATATAATAAAGCTCTTTGATTATATAAATTTATATATATATTTGTATTTCAGTTTTTAAACTTCATTTATATGTTTCTATATTAGCTATAAATTGTCAAACGGCTGGGCCTCTTCAGCTGATATATCATATTAACTGAAGTGCCCGGCGTTGCCCGTGTAAAAATAAATTTCCAACTTGAATAACGAAATCCTTTGTGCTAGCTATAGCTAACATATAAATATACAAATATATCTTTATATGAGCAAAGATAAACAGTGATCAGATTAAAGAAATATTTAAAAAATATTAGGACAACAAGCCAACCCTTGATATGTTGTTTAGCGAACCCTTGATGATATATTATGTTGCTTAGCCGACCCTTGCTGACATATTATGTTGTTTAACGAACCCTTGCTGGCATATTATGTTTTTCAACGAACCCTTGATATCTTATGTTGTTTAGCGAACCCTTGATCATATTTTCTGTTGCTTAACGAACCTTTGATGATATCTTATATTCTTTAACGAACCCTTGATGATATCTTATTTGTTGTTTAACGAACCTCTGATGATATCTTATACTGTTTAGCGGACCCTTGATGATATCTTATGTTGTTCAACAAACCGTTGATAATATATTTTGTTGCTGAGCGGAAACTTTATGATATATTATTTTTTTAACGAACCCTTGATGATATCTTAAGATGTTTAACGAACCCTTGAAGATATCTTATGTTGTTTAATGAACCCTTGATGATATCTTATGTTGTTTAACGAACCCTTAATGATATCTTGTGTTGTTTAACGAACCCTTGATGATATCTTTTGTTGTTTAGCGGACCCTTGATGATATATTTTGTTGTTTAGGGGACCCTTGATGATATCTTTTGTTGTTTAGCGGACCCTTGATGATATCTTTTGTTGTTTAGCGGACCTCTAATGAATTCGTTTATTGTTTTACGGACCCGACCCTTATAATATTTTACATTGTTTAGCGGACCCCTGAGATGACCCATCTTCCCTTGAAAAAGGATGGAGAGCCCTTTACTGCCAGTGTATGTAGGAAAACAGTGCAAACAAGTAAGCATAGTTTTTTAAGGGTTGAAAGTTACTGTGCAGTGTCCTCGTTCATCATTTATTTTTAAATGGAAGAACTTTGCACATAAATTCAAGATGAGAAATAAACTACATAAGGCCTTGTTTTAGACCGGTAACCTGTGTAACCATACGTTACGTATCTGTCTACTCTATGTTAAAAAGTTATTTTCGGAAATCGTTTTGTGAACTGACTTCTGACTAGTCCAAATTTTAGGAGACATTATGTGTTTAAGAAAAGTAATTAACAATTCACAACGGTACCCGTTTAACCTTGATATAAACATTGACAATGTTTATTTCGTAGAGCACTGAAATGAAAACAACATCAAAAAACTTCTGGAACCAATTTTTTTCTCAGAAAAAGGGTTTAATGGGTCCTGTTGTGAATTGGAAATGATACTTAAGAGATGAGGGTGACATAAATCATTTTTATTTCAGCAAGTTTGTGGGACGTGACCGGGGGTAAATTTTGTAGATTTAAGTATTTTTAGAAAAGTCAAGTTGTCTCTAGTTACCAAACAGTACATGTACAATTACATGTAGATAAAAAGTATTTTAGATAAAATAGGTTGTGTACACTGTTTATTGATTTACAGGCACTTACCGATTGCTGTGGTATTTTGAACACATAAGATAATTGAACACATCCCAAAAATTTTAATTTTCTAATCCCTTTATCTTTTCACTCTGATGTCATAGACCTTTGATATTTCAAACTATAAATACTGTTAAATAAAATAGTCTGAGTTTGAATTTTAAAAAGTTTACACCATCAGGTTCCACGTACCTACGTACAGATACAGGAATTAGAAAGTTAAAGTTTGTGCCGAGGGTTTAATTGCTCTGTTTAAAAAAGCTAAATTCAACTAATTACTAATGATTTAAAAATTGTTCCATTATGAGAACTTACTTTTGTAAAGAAAGCCCGTTTTTATAAAAAAAAAGAAGAATATGGATTTTATTTAGATATATGCACAGTATTACTATGAAGATATATTAGTCTAAGCTTATGGTACAAAAAAAAATAACTTTTTCTTGAGAAACCTGCAGATACGGTTTTTATTGGGACTATTATGTTCCCTTCCATAAATCCAAGAACCTAAACGCTGTTAAATTAAACTTATTTGGTTTCATTGTGGCAGGGTGAATAAACCAGGGAGCAGAGATAGTTTTAAATAATTTAAATTAATATCAAAAGAAAATATTTATAGGTAAATTACCAAAAGTTAATTTTTACTGCAAAAGAACTGATTACTCATTTCAAGTGCGAATTTTATTTTCAATCTGATGGTGTAAACCTTTTATATTTCTAGTTACTCCAACAGGTTGCAAAGATAAAGGCATTAAAAAATAAAATATTGATGTGAGCCATCAGTTCTTCGGAAAATCATGATCAAAACTTTTTATTATTTTTTTTTTCAAAACTCCATAAACATTGATTTTCCCGGCATAATATTCCCTTTAATTATCTAAAGTTGTTCTTGTTGTTTTCTTGTTTTCTTGATGAATAGTTTCAGAAAACTGGAGAAAATCCAGAAACTGATAATTTACAATATTTATTTAGATTTTAAAGGGTATAGATTCAACTATATACAAAATGTTTAATCTTTAAAATATTCTTGTAAACATTGTTTTTTTGCTGCAATGTCAGAAAATATTAAATCTAAAGTTTAGCAGAAAACCTGCTGAGAACCTTTCTAAGACTTTTCTTTTGTATTATAAATACTTTACTCCAACCCTACTCTAATCCTACTCCAACCCTACTCTAATCCTACTCCAACCCTATTCTAATCCTACTCCAACCCTACTCCAACCCTATTCTAATCCTACTCCAACCTTATTCTAATCCTACTCCAACCTTATTCTAATCCTACTCCAACCTTTTTCTAATCCTACTCCAACCCTACTCTAATCCTACTCCAACCCTATTCTAATCCTACTCCAACCCTATTCTAATCCAACTCCAACCTTTTTCTAATCCTACTCCAACCCTACTCTAATCCAACTCCAACCCTATTCTAATCCTACTCCAACTCTATTCTTATCCTACTCCAACTCTATTCTAATCCTACTCCAACCCTATTATAATCCTACTCCAACTCTATTCTAATCCTACTCCAACCCTATTCTAATCCTACTCCAACCCTATTCTAATCCTACTCTAACCCAACTCAATACTTTACTCCAACCCTACTCTAACCCTACTCCAACTCTATTCTAATCCTACTCCAACCTTATTCTAATCCTACTCCAACCCAACTCAATACTTTACTCCTACCCTACTCTAATCCTACTCCAACTCTACTCAATACTTTACTCCAACCCTTCTCTAATCCTACTCCAACCTTATTCTAATCCTACTCCATCCTTACTCCAACTCTACTCAATACTTCACTTCAATCCTACTCTAATCCTACTCCAACCCAACTCAATACTTTACTCCAACCCTACTCGAATCCTACTCCAACCCTACTCAATACTTTACTCCAACCCTATTCTAATCCTACTCCAACCCAACTCAATACTTTACTCCAACCCTACTCTAATCCTACTCCAACCCTACTCAATACTTTGCTCCAATCCTACTCTAATCCTACTACAACCCTACTCAATACTTTACTTAAATCCTACTCTAATCCTTCTCCAACCCCACTATTATTCTACTCCAACCCTATTCTAATCCTACTCCAACCATACTTCATCCGTACTCCAACCCTACTCTAATCCTACTCAAACCCTACTCGATACTTACTCCAACCTTAATAAATACTTTACTTAAACCCTAATCAAATCCTTGCTCCAACCCTACTCTACACTTACTCCAACCCTACTCTAATTCTACTCCGATCCCACTTCATCCTTACTCCAACCCTACTCTAATCCTTACTTCAGCCCTACTCTAATCCTACTCCCACCCCCCTTCATCCTTACTCCACCCCTACTCAATACTTACTCAAATCCCACTTAATCCTTACTCCAATCCTACTCCAATCCTACTCAAACCCTACTCAATACCTACTCCAAACCTACAATAATCCTACTCCAACCATGCATCATCCGTACTCCATCCTTACTCCAACCCTACTTCATCCTTACTCCAACCCTACTCCATCCTTACTCCAACCCCACTTAATCCTTACTCCAACCCTACTCGATGCTTACTTCAATCCTACTCCATCCTTACTCCAACCCTACTCGATCCTTACTCCAACCCCACTTCATGCTTACTCCAACCCTACTCCATCCTTACTCCAATCCTACTCTAATCCTACTCAAACCCTACTCAATCCTTACTCCAACACTACTCCATCCTTACTCCAACCCTACTCGATCCTTACTCCAACACTACTCCATCCTTACTCCAACCCTACTCGATCCTTACTCCAACCCCACTTCATGCTTACTCCAACCCTACTCCATCCTTACTCCAACCATACTTCATCCTTACTCGAAGCCTACTCAATCCTTACTCCAACCTTACTCCATCCTTATTCCAATCCACTTCATCCTTAATCCAACCATACTTCATTTTTATTCCAACCCTACTCTATTCTTACTCCAACCCTATCCCATTTTTAGTCCAACCTTACTCTAATTCTACTCCTACCCCACTTCATCCTTATTCCAAACTAAATCCATCCTTACTCCAAACTCCTTTATCGACCCTACTCCATTCTTACTCCAACCATACTCCATTTTTAGTCCAACCCTACTTTATTTTTTACTGCCATCCTACTCCTTACTCCAACCCTACTCTTTACTCCAACTCTGATTCATCCAAACTTCAACTCTCCTTCAAGCTTACTCCGACCATACTACATACTTACTCCAACCCTACTCGTACTCCATTCCTACGTTATCCTAACTCTAACCCTACTTAATCCTTACTAATCCTTTACTTATCTCCCCCGTCCTAACGTACTTTGTTCAAAAACCATATAAAATATGTCCTTTAAACATTACGTCACATCTCTCTGACGTCATCAGCTTTCCTACAGTTATATTTTATATTATATAAAACTTAGCTATATCTTGACTATTGTAAATTAGTTGATAAAATGTGGGTCTAATCGGTTCAGCCATTTTGAAGTTTATTGAATACCAAAAGATAATTCAATAGACAAGCCAAATTTTTTACATTTTTTAAAACAATTTTTTAACAGCTTAACATTAAAAAACTTTAATAAAAATAACGATTTGGAGCTTATCATTTTTAACGAATTATATTCTTAATGGAATTGAGTCTTTGCGACAAACATAAATTTACGAATCTCTTTATCATTGCAACCTGATGATGTAAAACTTTGATATTTCAAACTTAGAAGTATAGTTCTATAGTTTTAAATATCTAAAGTTTTATGACATTTGATTGCAAAGATATAGGAATTAGAAAATTGTGGCAAAGACTCAATTCCTTTAAAAAATTTATTTATGGCCGGGGGTTTTTTATTCCGCGAAATCAGATTGCTACCTTTTTGTTAAAATCGATTAATTTTTAGAAATTTGTTTAATTTGTTTCCCGCATTTTCTTTTACAAACTTTGGCTGCAAAGTAAATATCTAGGATTGAGACCTTACAGTTAGATATCGGTAATATTATGCCAGAACAACAAACTAAATATTTTTAAATAGAATTTTTATCAATTTGCTCAGGCCACTGTCAATATATGCACAATATAGCAAAATAACAATTTTTTATTTTATTTCAATGTAAAAATAATTTTTCCAATTTGATGGAAAGAAATCAACGATATAAATATTGATGTTAAAGGGACTGTACGCGAAATTTCATGAAACCCTCCTTGCAACAATGGCAATGACCGTGCAAAGATTAAGACGGTACCCTTGAAACATGTATCTGATAAAAAATGTTGAAGATATCGTCGTTTTCCTGACGCGACGCGGAAAGTGTTTTTATGCTGATAATTTCTCCATCGTTACCTATACGTTAGACAAATGAAAATGAAAATGAAAATGAAAAGAGTTTAAAGAAACTAAAACATGGTTTTCATATTCAAAGCTTTAAAGGGTATCGTTGTAATTCAGACATTGTCATCTTTGCATGGAGGATAACTTTAATAGTAAATTAGCCAATAGTTCTGTATATTGCTACAGGGTGTCAATATGTAGATGTATTTATTTATTGTAGCTTATATCTATCTATCTATCTATCTATCTATCTATTTAGTTAACGAGGAAACTAGAGTTATCCGTTCCTGTGGCTGGCTTCCAAATGAAGAGAACTTTCTAGGAAGAGACTGTTTCACCAAGACCGGCACAAATAAGGTAAATTTTAAGAAATCAGACTAATGAAAGCACAGTAAAAAATCCGACTAAAATGAAACAAAAGATGAATAATTAAGGATGTAATTTTATGTTTTTATCTTCTCCAGGTGATGGTTTTCCACTGTGTGTGTCACTCGGATGCATGTAATGGCGGAAACCTTGTTCAGTTTTCTCATTTCTTCATTCTTTTCATCCTCAGTATTAGTGCCTTGCTTACCAACCACAGGGTTTAAGTATCCTGCAAGGTAATGTTTTTTTTTCATCTGTTATATATAATATTTTAATTCAATGCAGCTGAAAAGTAATTGTGTTTTTCAATTACATTTTTTAAAATATCATTATTCATTGATATTCTTTGGGGAATAAATTCCAGAGGTGGCGGTTGAACGACCGGTTGAGAGTTGAGGCACAGCTTAGACTTGCAAATTAGAATAAGAAATGGAAATTATAAAAAAAATTTATGCCTTCAACCAATGGAAACACAAATATTTCAAAATGTTATTTTTGTCTCTTAGAATTACAAATTTTTGTAAAACGCTTTTGTTGTCAACCGATCTGTAAACGCAAGTTTTTATTTTACTTAAACGGTGAAAATTGCCTTTTATATCTTTTTTTGTCTTCCACCGCTGTAAACACGCATTTTCATAACAAATAACTGTAAAATAACGTGAAACTCAGCGGTTAAGAGCAAACATTCACCTAAAGATTATATTTTCAGACGTTGAATAGATTTTAACTCTGATTTATTTTGAACTAAATCGCAGAGACTAAACCAGATCTCCATGCGCTATCGCTGAATTTTTTTTCTCTAGTGTATATATTATTAATAAAATATCAGCTTTTAAGAATAATTAAATCCCTTTATTTCTCTAAATATTTCAGGATTGAATCCCCTGATCTTGAATCCAGGAAACTGCTAGAATAAGATCCTGCCTCTTTTAGTTTCATCCAAACTAAATATTTCATTCATCAAATTATAAAAAGATGATTTACTTCACATTCTTCTAGAGCTTTTCAATATCGCGGCCACCACACAACAACTTTAGTAACAGAGTACAGCCTCTTGTACAAGCTTTATAGTTATTCTGTGTACTTTACAAGCTTTTTCTTTTGAATGTCAAAAGTATTATATAGGACGGACTTTAGTGCTTTAGTACAAGCTTTAATACTTCAGTTTACTTCTTTCCAAGTTTTTCTGGTGCAAAGCCTTAAGTACTTTGGGACGAGCTGTAGTACTTCACTCAGTACAAGCTTTAGAAAACTTCAGTACACCTTAGTATACTTAAGTACTTGTCCTTATACTTCAGAATACTTCAGTACACCTTAGTATACTCAAGTACTTGTCCTTATACTTAGAATACTTCAGTACACGTCAGCATACTATAAACACTTTCTTAGTGTACATATGTTTTGGCATGCTTGAGTACACGCATAATTAATATACTTTAGTACACTATAGTATATTCCAGTAAACTTTTGTGCAACTCTAGCATACTTCAGCATATTAAAATAGTAAAACCAAAGTTGTCCAACACACATTATTTTGATTAACGCTTTCTTTAAAATCTTAATATCAATGTTAAAATCTGTTTAATTGGTTTAAACCATTTTTGTGAAACAATAAATTTACATAAAGCTTTATGAACGAGGGATATTTAGATATTTAGAATCTCTGTTATTTAATCACTAGCCAATAATATAACCAATACAAATTTACCACAGTCAACAAATTTCAAATAAGAAAATAAAAAATGTATCCGTTCTTTATGAATTAGTGAAACTACCATTGTTTCATTGTTTGGATAAAAACCCTCCTCCAGTTGGTTTGCTTTCATTGTGATATATCTTAATTGGTATCATTCTAACTTCATTGTTCATTTTGAAACTGTTAATTACTCACGCATAATGTTGCAAATGTTTTAATTTCAAAAAAAGGGGTTTCTTTATTCGTTTACTAATTTCAATTATTAACAAAAGACATTCACACAATACAATTGTTCTGATACCTTTACTTTTGATGTTTAGATTAATAGTTTGAGAATTGCTTTATATTTCTTAACAATTTGAATTTAAATATTTTAGATTTTTGAATCTTGTAGCAGAACAGCTATAATCAGAAGACCAGATTTGATATTTGAAGAAATGTGTTTCTTAAAACTAACGATTTTTATTTGTATATAAAATAAGTTAAAAATATTTCTCCTGATTTCTTGTTAAAAGTTGCATGTTTTTAAATGTGCGTTAAGTTAATGTTTAAGCATTATATTTAAATACTGAATGCAATATTTCATTCATGTGATTTATATGTAGTCATTAACTTGACGAATATATTTACGTATATATTATTTATTTACATGAAGACGAGTACTTGTCTTTAAACATTTCTGCATTGGTCAAATCAATTTTTCTTCTTCGCCATTTTTGATTCCTATTTGGTGTGGAGAAAAACAGCTGATTAATGTCAGATTTGGTTTTGGCGGGAAAATCTTAGAATCAGTAACTCCGGGAGTGTGCTTCTAGTCAACACAGCCGTGTCGGCCCCTCATCCTTCAGCTAAGAGCACGTGGATGTATGTGGGCCTAGGGACGTGCTGAATTAGGTTTAAGGGAAAAAATGTGGATACGATTGTAAATATTTTTGAATGACTGCACGAATGTAGAAATCTATTGTTGGTTCAATAAATACACTTGTTTTGATTTTTTTTCTGATTTTAACAAGACAAATGCACAAATTGCATGAAAATTAATGGTTAAAAATTTCCAATAATAATTATTCTAAAGGCACATTAAGAAATTACTATAACTGCCATAAGCCATATAAACCAAAAACTTCGTCAAAAACAAACTTCAGTATTATTTTAAGGTGAAATTAATAACTAAATGCATTATCGGTGGGGGGAGAGGGTAGCCCCCCCCCCTACTTCCTTTAGATTTCAGAGCGATCTCAATAGCACTTAAAGGAAAGAAAACCCAGTGCAAAACATAAAAAAATAACTATCTTAAAAAAAATTTCGCCTGCAATGCATCCTTTGGATATCTGGATATTTTTGTTCCAAAATAAATCTAGCACCCCCTCACTTAAATCCTGTATCCGCCCCTGTTTATCCGAATGCATTATTCACGATGAGCTAAAAGTTTGTTAAATACAGAGGAAACTAATAATTTCGTTGGTAAAATGACAATAAAAAAATAATTATTTCGCCAAAAAATCCCAACTATAAGATTTAGCCTTAAAAATTTCCGATGTACTTTCTTTATTTTTATTATTATTAATAAACCTTTCTGAAATTCTGATCCAATAAAATTCTCGAAAAGTTACCCACCTACTAAAAATTGGGTACAAGTAACTATTACAAAACCTTCCTTTAGGGTTTAACTTGCAGTTTTTCCCCATGACGTGATTTTTTTCTCCATATGTTAAAAGATTTAATTACAGGGGCGGATATAAGGATTCTGTAGGGGGGGGTAAATATTTTTAATTTGGCGCGCGAAGCGCGCCGAATTTTTTTTTACCCCCNTTACCCCTAGAATTCTAGGGAGGGGTATTTACCCCAGGATTCTAGGGGGGGGGGGTAAATAACCCCAATAACCCCCCTTATTTACGCCACTGGATTTAAATTCTTAACCTAAATTGAGTATGTCGAAGGAAACCGGAATGAGACAATTGAAACTTAAATACAAACTAGCTAGACTATTAACATTTTGGAAAAAACTTGTTTATTGTGATAGAGTTTTGAATTTTGATTTGAGTAAATAAATTTGAAGTTTTCTCAATACACATTTAAAATATATTATCTTACTAAATCATAATGAATCAAGAAAAATCTAGATGCAATTCATATACAAAGAGGTTTTAACCACCAAAAAATATGGCGGCTTAAAAAAGAAAGGGCGGGGGGGAGTTGGTGGTGTCTGTAAATGACAGGTCAAAAACAGTAAAAAAATCGAATTTTTTTATTTTATTTCGATTGAAGGCGCATATCCATGCGGCATCAGAATTAACTAGGCGTCAAGAATTGATACGCCATTAAGAAATTCAGCAAATTCAGAAAATGCCACGAAGGCCATTAAGAATGCAAAGACGAAAGAAATTCTTTTTCATCTGAGGTAATTTTGAAAACACAAAAATACCATATTTTGGAAATGTCAGGACATGGGGAAAGGAGATGGTAGCTGTTTGTCCTCTACACTTTTAGTAATTGTTATTTTCCTTAGTGGTATTCGTGCTATAAATAAAACTTTTCATTTGGGGTATATAACTATTAACTACAAATAATATGCCAGGGGTGTCAAATAAGTATTTTTAGTTTGTTTTGATTGATGGTTAAAATCTCCACTTAAAAATTTTTAAAATTAATAAATGTTTGATTTTACAATTAAGATGCATTTCTTTTATATATTTTTGAAAAAAAAATAATAATTTATTGAATAAGGAAATAATCGATTTTTTAATTCCATAAAAGTTGTCTAACAAAAGTTGCTAGAGTTGCACTATAATATCATTTTTGATTTGACATTTGTACAGGTACTACAGGGTGTCCCACATCAAATTAGACCGCGTCAATAAGTCTAAATTACGATTCCGGGGACAAATCAGAAAATTTAAGAAGAATGAATCATTTAAAAAAAAATTTAGTATAAGGCTAATATAAAATCTTTTGCAGAAATGCTAGATTTTTCGATGATTGTGTTGCGTATTTTGACGTTAAAAATTGGAGATAGTCTAATAGGATATGGGACGCTCTGTGTACGTGTACTTCACCGTATAACTTGGCCAAGAAATAGAAAAGAAGAAGAAGCATTGAACAATAAACAAAGTGCTTACAAATGTGCTGAAACTGGTATCAAAGTCGTTGCAATAAAGAATTTATTTTCGATATAAAACATACATCTAATTTTGATGAAATATCTTTTGAAAAAAGTTCTCAACTTCCTTTTTATTTGTATTCAAAATACAACGTACAACGAAATCCTCTCAATGTACTATTCTTGGTTTTCTAGGATGTAAAATGGTCATGATTTATTGATTTATTGATTTATTGATTTATTGATTTATTGTTTTACGGGCTATGTTGCATGGAGGCAAAGTGATTAAATACTAAAGTGGGCCAAACTCATAGTTGTATGACGACATTTTATGTCCCAAGTTTTTAAATATAGTTTATATATATATATATCTTGGTCTTCACTTTTGTATTTTGACAGATTTAAGAGTGGTTGAGAACTAGACATAGTTTTGAATATATTAAGAGAGGCGTATTCAGATTTCTTCAAATTAGTATTTTGTTTTCTAATTGGGGGAGAGTCTTTCATAATTTTTACCATTGAAAGGTTACCAAAAGATCTAAAATATAAAGCCAATAAGTATATTTAGCTTGGGAAACCAGCATTGCCTGGAAACTATGTCAAAGGGTTCATGAGTTATAATCGGACTTACAGAAGGATAAACAAATAGAGAATATACATATTAAGATAATTTGTTTAATAAATCAATTTTTTGAGAATGTCGTCTTTTTATATAAATTGTAGTATTATATTTTATGCATCATTAATCAAAGAGTATCGCTTGTCCTGAATGTGATTTATTTATTATAGCTTTTACAAATTGCTGAATTGATATATAAAGAATTTTGTTCGTACATCAATTCAATAAATATAGTACTTAGAAAGTGTAGTCAAACATTTACTATCAAAACAAGTCTTTTAGTGAAATGAGATGAATTATTTGTAAATAAAAGCGTAAACTGTATTTTATGTTAAAAAATGTATAATGTATAAATGTATAAATAATAATGTATAAATGTATAAATAATAATGTATAAATGCGTTAAATGTGCAATTCACTTTAAAGAAACATCAAATGAAAATAATCAGTTTAAAAACAAGGATATCTAATTCTCTATTTGAATCGGACCAATGCTTTCATTCGCTGAATTAAACTGTTAATTTCGCAATAAATAGTTGGAGTTTTGCAAATTTGCCATTTTTTTCCAAAAACAAATCAAATGTTATAGATTTGTATCACAATAAGAAAAAAGAAGGGGGGGGGCAATTTTACCCCCCCCCATGGCAGCCAGTCAGTAAACCAGACGTCAGACTTAATGTAGTTAATATACTGTATCTATGTTTTTTCTTCTCTTTTTTTTCGAGGGACTGGGGAGCTGATCCGAAAACAGCTATACCAGTTCTCCAGAATTAATTACACTCTGTAATAATGAATAATCTTATTTAATATTTTCTTTTTGCGTAAAAAGATAATACTTCATTTTGTTTTATTTGACTTTCAGGTCGGAAAAATATTCGAACTTTTAAGAATAATCGAGAATAATTTGGATGTTATATTTGCATCTTCTTTTTTTCACATTTAAATGTTAAAAGAACACACTTTTTGGATTATGTTTTTTTAAAAATAAATATTTCATTTTTTTAAAGTCAATCCTTAACAAAGAAAAGCTTTAAAAGCAAACCTTCTAGAGAAATAGTTCAGAAAAATGAAAAGGAGTTAAAAATAAAAAATTCTTCAAACTTAACAAGCGAAAATATTTCTAAAGAATATTTACTTTAATCAAACTATGTAAATATTTTACTGGGGTTTTCCTAACAAAGAATTAAACACGAAATTTCTCGACATATGGGATTCATTTGTATCTTGTAACCTGCATTTACTTTTTGTTTTGAATATAATCTTTTTCAGTCATGCACGAGAATATTAGAGCAGAAATATTTGCTAGAGAATCACATCATGTTCAATCTTTTATTCTTCACATCATGTTTAATCTTTTATTCTTCCCATCATGTTCAATCTTTTATTCTTCCCATCATGTTCAATCTTTTATTCTTGACATCATTTTCAATCTTTTATTCTTCACATTATTTTCAATCTTTTATTCTTCCCACCATTTTTAATCTTTTATCCTTCCCATCATATTCAATCTTTTATCCTTCCACATCATTTTCAATCTTTTATTCTTCACATTATTTTCAATCTTTTATTCTTCCCACCATTTTTAATCTTTTATCCTTCCCATCATATTCAATCTTGTATCCTTCCCATCAAATTCAATATTTTATTCTTCCCATCATGTTCAATCTTTTATTCTTCCCATCATCTTCAATCTTTACCCTTCCCATCAAAGTCAATCATTTGTTCTTCCCATCATGTTCAATCTTTTATTCTTCCCATCCTGGTCAATCTTTTATTCTTCACATCATGTTCAATCTTTTATTTTTCCCATCATGTTTGATCTTTTATCCTTCCCATTATCTTAAATCTTTTATTCTTCCCATCATGTTCAATCTTTTATTCTTCCCATCATGTTCAATCTTTTATCCTTCCCATCATGTTTAATCTTTTATCCTTCCCATCATGTTCAATCTTTTATCCTTCCCATCATGTTCAATCTTTTATTCTTCCCATCATGTTCAATCTTTTATCTTTCCCATCATGGTCAATCTTTTATTCTCCCCATCATGTTCAATCTTTTATCCTTCCCATCATGGTCAATCTTTTATCCTTCCCATCATGTTTAATCTTTTATCCTTCCCATCATGTTCCATCTTTTATCCTTCCCATCATGGTCAATCTTTTATTCTCCCCATCATGTTCAATCTTTTATTCTTTCCATCATATTTAATCTTTTATACAAGAAATAATGGTTAACATTTTTTAAACCGCTGATCTAATTAGATGGTAAGAGTTGGTAAAAATAAGACTTGAATTCAGAAAAATTATCTCAATTTCTTTTATTGCGTGAGCTGCGTAAGTCCACTAGCTGGTTGAATAGAGAACCGAAATTGAAAATAATTAATTTTCATTTAGGAGAGAAAAACAAGGATAGCTCAACCATTTTACCCATGTAAACTTCACAATCAAACAAAGGGACAGATGAGATCACGTTGACCGTCCCTTTAAACAATGATTTGCAACAAATGTTTATTCCAATTTGTCCAATGATCGGTAGATATAAAACATTGTTTGTGTGTGAACTGACTTTAGAGAACACTTTGACCGAGACTATTTCAAAAATGTTCTTTTTCTTCTGAAATCTATCCAAAGTATAAAAGGCGAAGAGCAAAGTCCTCAGGGGCGTATACAGACATTTTTCAAGGAGGGGTTACATTTTTTCCTTTCTATTGGGGCGGGGGGGGGGACTGAGTATCCTTTATGATAAAGGGGGGGACTGAGCCCCTAAAGCCCCCCTCACTTTATACGCAAGCTCTGATAGCTCTATTCAAATTATTTCAAACAATGGTGAAAATTAAATATTTTTTTACCATAAATAAGTTATTATCATTCATGGTTATATCTTAGTTTTACTATCTATGATCTGATTTGAGCATTAGTATTTTATTGGTATTCTTATTTTAATTCTGTTTTTGTGAGTAAACTTTGTAAGTTATTTCTGTGCTAATCAATTTGAAATCTCATGCTGGTGAAGTAAACCCAATTGGCAAAAATTAGAACAATTCAGCTGGATCACAAAGCGCATTTTGTTCCGAAACATGCGGCAAAATTGTTTTAAAATTCTTACTCTAGTTTCAGAAAAGTAGTTAAATATTGCCCACCCCTGCATTAGTTAGAAAATTATCTATCTATCTTTTTCTTTATATGTTTGTATCTATCTAAGTAAGTGAGTGGTGAGTCCTGTGTCTAGTTTCCTGTAGGCAGCTACAGCGAGCTGGTCAATCCATTGTTAGATGCAGGACAATTCTATCCTAGTGTTATAAATATTCATAATAAATGCAATTGACAAAATACAGACAACATCTGTAAAATTATACTTTTAATTTAATTTGAAATTTTTTTTTAAATTTTTGACAGTAAAATAGTATTAAGCTAGACACGGTAGATAAAATTAAAAAAGTAAAAAGTGCATGTAAAGATGTAAACTTGTATGTGCAATTAAATGTTAGAATGAACAGTTCTGTATTTCTGAAAATAAAAACTGTCTGTGCGACAGATTTATGCCAGGCATACATTTAGAGCAGCACTGGAAAAAGAGTAAAATGTGACCCAACAATGCAACAGTGGGAAGGAGTGGGGGGAGGGGGATTAGTGTGGGGGGGCAAAAGCCCCAAAAGGTCAAGTATCTTATTTTCAATGTCACTATTTTAACGAATTTTTTTTCAGATGTAGCAGATTCCTATGTTGTTGTACATAAAATCCTCGAAAAATGTCTCGAAAAAATCCCCAAGAATATACACTGCTGGGTTTAGCCAAGTTCAATGAATACTGCTCAGTTCTGGCAATTAAAGAACTAAGCTGTTATGATCCAGATAAGAAGACGATAGAAAAAGCTTTCAGGTAGAAATCATTGCATATTTTTTTTTGATTACTGGGCTTTTAAAAATCGTAAATGTCAACATTTGATTTTGACCAGACATAAACTTTCCTTTAGGGTAATATAAGTTGCCACAAAAAATATATAAATAGTTTGTCAATATTTATGGTATACATTTCTTTACTTCATCTTTTGTAATTTGAATCGAATCAGAAATTGTTGTAGCGAGCATGTGAAGGCCAAGTTAAAATAAACAGAATAAAGGGGGAAAATAATAGAAATACCGGAAAAGTATGAGAACTAACTAAAAAATAAATTGATCAACTAGGGCTGGGCATATTCTGACTTTTTTATAAACTGTTCGTTGACTTATATTTAATGGAACGGGCAGCACCATCAAAAAGCCGTTCGTTTAAAAAAAACAATATGATTTATGCATAAATTTTTAGTATAAAATTAAACCAAAAGTCATTAAAGTATCAGTTAGTTTTTCATTAACGGTTATTTTAGTTCGTTTTTCATTAACGGATAATTTTCCTACGTTAACGAGCTAGACATAACTGGGGTTTTCCGTTCATTTGCGAAATTTTCCTTTAATTTGTTAAATTTCAGTTTTCCAACGAAACATTATCTATATCTCTATGTAAAATCAACCCTTAAGCATATTAAGCATAGTTTTTATTATCTTTAGTATTTGCTATTTTCAAAAAAGGTGGAACAAGAAAATATTAAAGGGATTGGTGGTCAGATAAATGTTATAAAATGTGAAAATAAAACTTAGATATTTTCCTGCCAAATATTTATTAAAAATACTTTTAAGAGAACACTGAAAATATCAATTTTAAATTAGTGTCTGTTAGTTTCGCGTATGTTTTTGCAAGTTTAAATTTGTATTTCATGGTTCAGGGATGTTTATAGAGAGTGTATTCTATTTTAAATGTTTTCTTCACAGTTCATAGAGGAAATATATTTCTGGGCATAAACACACCAAACTTACTCAAATATTTTATAAAAAGCTTCGTCACGGAGGTATGCGAGAAATATTTTAAAATAAAAGCTATTTTTTGCTTCAAGAAATTGTCATTGTTAACTGTGAAAAAATTGGATAAAGTATCTGAAAAATTACGTAGAAGAAAGAATCCTTTATTGATGCTTATTGTCAGCTACAGTGATAGCCAGAAAACTCTGGAATAGGAAGACGACTTTATAGCAAAACTTAAGCTTATTTGATGTTGTTACAAAGCAAATAGTTTTACTTTACACTTATTAAATTACCAATTAAGTGAAATGGGCCTGTTTACACTGCACAACTGCTGTTTCCCATGCTCTGGCTTATAATTAGGACTATTTTAAGTTAAAACTTAAGTCTAAAAGTCGCCTTTCTATTCCAGAGTTTTCTGGTTATCACTGTATACAATTTAAGGAAACAAATAGATACGTACTTTAAATACATACATAATACATATAATTATCTAATACAGAATAATCAAAAGATGATTGCACAGTAATTGACTGTTTTTGAGGATTAAAGGGAGTGACCGGCAATGTATGGTTGTTGAAATGAGTATGTAGTATTGTGGAGAAATTGTTTAGTGTTCATTTAAGGCATATAAGACGTTTTAATGATGTATAATTACTGAGTTTGAGTGCAAAGTCGACGTTCAAAATCATCCGTTTGGGTGGTTAAGTTTTGAAAATCGATTTTATTAAATCACTAAAAAACGACGACAAAAAAAATCTTTAAAAATTTTTCGGTAAACTAAGTAGATGTTTAGAAACAAATTTACATCATTAAATTGAATTTCTTATACTTTATGAATTCGTTCGCAGATTTCTTCAAATTCTCCAAATTTCGTCTTTTAAAAAAAAATCCAGAAAATCTACAGAAAATGTTTGTAAACAATGAGACATTACAGAAAGCAATAACTGAAAAAGATTACTTTTTTTCGAGGATAATAGTTTTTTTTTCAACCTGTTCCTAAACAACTAATTAGTTTACTGCCGAATTTTTACTACATTTTTCGTCGTTGTTATTAAATATTTTTTTTAAAAACCGATTCTCAAAGTCATTCCTCAAAATGAACAATCTATGAGGATTTTAAAAGATTAAATTTGCACTCTTACTGAACAAATATAAACCGTAAAAACGTCTCAAAGGTCTCAAATGATAAGTAACTTTCTCCCAAATACTACATTCTCAGTTCAACTACCATATTGCTGGTCACTTCCTTTAAGCAACATCTAAATTGTGTAATTCACAAAACTAAAGTTTTTAGATACTAGAATGGGTTTTTATCATTTCAACATTAAAGTTAATTGGTATAATTTTTTCAACGTACTTTCCTTCATATATAGAAACATAACCATTCAATTTCGAGGTAAAATATTTTCCAAAATTAGCTGGATTTGTAAATGCAAACCTCGTCCCTTAGACATTTTAAAAAGGCACAGAGGGGGGTTGGGCGACCTGCTGCCTATTAAACGCATTAAAAAAAGATTTAGACAACAGCACTTTTAGGTTTAAAATACACTATTTGAGGTTTCTCGACCTAGACCTAGACCTAGACCTAGACCTAGAGCCTAGTAGGAGTTAGGGCAGTTTTTTTCTAGATTAATGATGCTCTACCTATTCTCATGTATATTGTATAAACGCTGTCCAGACGCAGCAGTCAATAGGTGTCACTTTTTAGTAACAACTTCTTTGTCTGTTGTCAGTAGATACTCATTAAATGTGTATATTTGAAAATTTATGAATTTTTAAAATATATTTCATTCAAATCACTCCATTGCAGCAGTGTGAACATAAGGAAAATCTCCATTTATTGGGGAATTTCTGGAGTTACTTTGCGCCCTTCAGTAGTTTTTATTTTACCTCAAAATTTTGTTTTATTTTCTCACTAAAATATTTAGCTCTTTATAAGATTTGGGCAAACACAGTTTTAAACTATAAATAATGAGATGAAAAATCTGACGAGAAAGAGTTTTTTTCGCCATAAAATCATTCTCAAAGTCAAACTAAGGAGCAATTTTCCAATCCACACAAATCGAAACTAATTTTAATCTCGTTTGTGATTTTAACTTTTCAAAAATGACTTTTTTACTCAGTACGATGGAGACGTTTGTACCCGAACATCTTTGTCTTGTCAAAAAATATATTTTTCTAAACAAATCCTGCTGCTGTCAATTCCCACCAGTCTATTTATATCCACATTGTGTAGCCTTTAAATTCCGTATCTATCTGCTACCTTCAAGTCACACTTCTTCTCAAAAAAAATATGTGCAGGTGGGTGTTCAAACAAATATTTTTAAATCTATATTGTATATATGTATGGTAGCTATAGTCATAGCCAAACGGCTGGACCGAATTGGCTGACAGCTTTTGGTTTTAACTAGTTACATAATCCAAATTTATGATAAATTGATTAAGGGGTTCACGAGTTATGATCGGACGTACAAACGATCTCACCAAAACAGAGATTACTTCTTTAAATATATTTATAAATGTTCTTGATTAAGTAAAGTTCTTTCGAGTTTTAGATGTGAGAGTTAAGTGTTCCATAAAACTCTGATTTGATTTGCTTATTTCTATATATTTACTAGAATTAAAGACATTTTTAGCGGAATCTCAAGTGACCCTCCATGGCGCAAAGATGACCCATTTACAATGGTTCCCTTAACAGCTTTGTCTGATCAAGTATGTACTACGGAGAAAGGTATAATCACGGGCAGCCGTAGTGCATTTGAATTTCCGAGCCGGGTCAACCTTTCCAGTCCCAGTTTGTACTGTATCGCCCGTACATTGGGTAAATAAAGTAGACAGTCAATGGGACTATCCGGTGAACAAGGTTGACGCGGTCAGACTTTAGGTTGAATTTACTTTTACTAAAGGGTCAGGGTAATAGATTAATGTTTATAATTTTGAAAACATTAGATCAGATAAAGGTTTCAATGGTACCGTTGTAAATCAGGAATTGTCATCTTTGCATGGAGCGTCACTTAAAATTACGCTTAAAGTCTCTTTAAGGCGGAGTCTTTTAGTATGAGCTTAAGTAGTTTGGTTTTTATGACGTATATTTTATTCAGATTTTTTTAATAGTATTTTAAAAGAAAAGAACCCTCTGATTGCGATAAAGGCTTAAAAATAAATATTATGATAAAAGAGCATTTTGATTTCCTTGTTCAAATAAAACTTTGTTTGTTTAACCGACATTAAATATGGTAAAATGTTTATTGTTTACAATGTTTATTGTTTACAATGTTTATTGTTTACAATGTTTATTGTTTACAATGAGATATTACATATCAAGGAATTTATTTACATCCACTAAAATCTAAATCAAATGTTTACGCAACATCATCTGTACTGTTTTCTCTGGGAGAAATGTAAACAAACTTTATGCTCAAACAGCTTTTAAAGGGAATAATTGAAAATATTCTAGTTACGAAAAATAATGAAAGTTTCAAACACAAATATGCTATCTGTTCACTTCTTTATTGTTTACTAAGATAATACAATGTCTGCTTCTAATTTCATGTTCGAAACCTCTCATATAAAACCTGATAGTGTTTATTTCATTAGTGGTTAAATTTTTCAATGCTAAATATAATTTGTTTCACTAAAGTTAGAGATCTAAAACCTAATCCATATTAATATATAATTTAATAAATATTGAGATTTTATAGATTCTGTAAAGATAAGAAATAACTTTAGAAATGTTGTAGTAAAAAGATTATTTAGTAGGATTAAATTCTTTAATGATGAATTCAAGAAATGAATAATTTGTTTAGGAAGAGAGCCCTGAAAACCCACCCAGATAAAGGAGGGGACCCTGTAGAATTCAAGAAAATCAATGATGCTTACAATAGACTTATTGGACACATTCTGAAGGTAATTATTTTCATATTCACAGTGATGCAAACAGTTCTGAAAACTAAACTTAACGGATCATCACACTATTCTCGCTTTAGGGTTGAAAAAGTGTTGATGACTAAATTCTTTTTAAACCAGGTCTTTAAAGACAAATTTCTATGATTCATTCTTTTTAAATAACATGTAACTATGAATAAATAGATATATAATCAGTATATATTTTTTAATACTGAATCTATCGCTTATAATTTGTTAACTCCAGCTAAATTCATATTTGTATGTTTCAGTTTTTTTCAAATGTTTATCACCTCAATTTTATGCTAAATCTTCAGACCATACTCTGAAATATTTATTTGTAATTTACATGTTTTGTGTTTAAAATACATTTAAAGTGTTTAATGTTCCTTCTGTAAAGCTTTAAATGCTGCTAATTATCTTGAAATAGAACAAAATGAGAATAAATATTAGTTAAACTTGCGTAATTAGCACAATACAGTGCATCTCACACAAACCCATATCCTTTTACTTGTTACCCTAACCTCATTCTGAGAAAATTACTACTAATTAGGAATTAAGTTCAAAGTCCAACATTTTTTCTGAAATATTATAAACCTGCGCATAATTGTGCATACACAAAGTAAAAATACTGAGGGGTCAGGTGTAAAATCTACATTATTTTACATCTAATTTAAAAACAAATTTAGAAACTTTTTCCATTTTCTTCTGACACACATTTTTACAGCAATAAGCGGATTATTTGACCCTTCATACGCAACTTTGTTCTTTTCAGGCGAGCTCAGGCTTAAACATTTTTATTATCTCATAAAAATCAAATAATCATTAAACTCTAACAATACAGAAAAGAAACCCCAGTCATCGTTTATCAAACAAAGGGAAAAAAGATGATAAACGTTCAGTTAAATTGAATACCTTAGAAGTTACGTTGTTGTTTTTAAGTTTTAGAATCAGTGTCACGCGTATTCTTAATGTGCACGCTTTCACGCAAAAATCGAGCACCATTTTGCCATTTACCCATTTTGAACTTAAGCTAGCAACAACTCTGATGCAATTTTAAAATGTATATACCTAAGGCTACAAAAAGGCATCAGTGAGTTGATGACGTAAAACCAAAGATCAAGGCGTTGTGACACTGGAAAGTCAAGGCTTCGATGAATAACTTTCTTGTCGTATATATATTTCAGTTTATCTTGTATAGTTCATTCTTCTCTTATATCAGAGTTGTCTTATATATATTTCAGTTTATCTTGTATATTTCATTCTTCTCTTATATCAGAGTTGTCTTATATATATTTCAGTTTATCTTGTATAGTTCATTCTTCTCTTATATCAGAGTTGTCTTATATATATTTCAGTTTATCTTGTATAGTTCATTCTTCTCTTATATCAGAGTTGTCTTATATATATTTCAGTTTATCTTGTATAGTTCATTCTTCTCTTATATCAGAGTTCTCTTATATATATTTCAGTTTATCTTGTATAGTTCATTCTTCTCTTATATCAGAGTTCTCTTATATATATTTCAGTTTATCTTGTATAGTTCATTCTTCTCTTATATCAGAGTTGTCTTATATATATTTCAGTTTATCTTGTATATTTCATTCTTCTCTTATATCAGAGTTCTCTTATATATATTTCAGTTTATCTTGTATAGTTCATTCTTCTCTTATATCGCTTATATATATCTCACCGCTAAGAATCTCTCATCCATTGATAGATCGGAAAAACAATATTTCATGGGTTAAAAGTTTCCGCTTTGGATTATAAGTTCATGCGTTGTGAAATAACCACATAGATCCGGACTGCTATGATAAGTGAAATTCATTTTTTAGACTGGTTCAATTTTTTTTTAGACTGGGTCAATTTTTTTAGACTGGGTCAATTTTTTAGACTGGGTCAATTTTTTAGACTGGGTCAATTTTTTAGAATGGGTCAATTTTTTAGACTGGGTCAATTTTTTAGAATGGGTCAATTTTTTAAGTGTTGCAGCGCCTTAGCATTTATTTCTACCTTACTCTGAGAACTCTGAGAGTTAGTCATTAAACTTTTAGACAGGCTCGACATGCAACACTCAATTGTTTCTAGCTTCATTTTAAAAAGAGTAATTGGCAAAATACTGCTCGATTTTTGCGTGAGAGTGTGCACTATGCACATCTTGGTTTGCAGTGCTCACTAACTCACTTCAACATATTTGTTTATCTTTTTACATTTATATTTATATTTACATAACTTATGTAATTACTTTAGTTTTTTTAAAAGCACGTAATCGGCCGAATTCTCACCGATTTTTGGATCACTGCACTGCATTAGTTTGTTCTAGTGTTACAGATCAGGCCACTGATAATCTTAATTTTTATGTTCAAAGCTAGCAATATGATACGGGATACTCAAACAGACCGGGCTGGAGATTCTCTCCTTTTTTGTAAAGGATGTTTAAAATGTAATTGAATATGCTGTATGGTCAAGGTTTGGGTGAAAAATTATATCCTTGCATTTTCTTCCAATGCAAAAACATATCTTCTTTAACTTTTTAAACCTAAAGCCAAAAGTAAATTTATCTAACTGAAATGAACCAAATTTTAGCCGTTTTCTTGCTCAGATACCGCTGTCAATCATTCTGAACAAAGCAACCGCTTGAAATAAAGTTTAAAATTTGTTTTGTCCCATTTGTTTAGAAGTTTACTATTTTTACTTGAAACTGTACAAATTACGAGGCACAAACCGACAGTGCACGATTGTCCTGAAATCCAAAGAATTTAAGTTTCTTTAAATCAAAGGTCACAATCTTAAATTCTATCTTATATTTCAAATTTAACACTGAGCAGAGACAAATGTTTCCATTTTTGATTTTTAAATGTTTTTGATTTTAATTTGTTCGCAAGATCAAGAAAAACCAAAAAAATGTTTATTAGATAAAAATCCTTTAGTTTCCGTTTTATACTACCAAAAAACTTTATTAAGCACTGCACGATTTCTAAAAAAATTAAATACAAATCATATTATTTTTAAGAACGAAATTTACATGATTTTTAAAGGGGGGGGGATATTTTTCACCCCTATTGATATTCAGGATGCATGTAGGAAACAAAATAATCTATTACTATTATTCACTATCCCAGGGACCCAAGATTTTCATTACAGACTCAAAGCTTTTTATCGGAGACCCCAGATTTGCATTGGAATCCCCAAGCTTTTCATCGGATACCTTAGATTTGCATGGGGAAACTCCAAATCTCTCATCGGAGACCACAGATTTTCATTGGAAACCCCAAGCTTCTCATCGGATACCCCAGATTTTCATTGGAGACCCCAAGCTTCTCATCGGAGACCACATCATTTTCATCGGATACCCCAGATTTTTAATGGATACCCCAAGCTTCTTATCGGATACCCCAGATTTTTAATGGATACCCCAAGCTTCTTATCGGAGACCCCAGATTTTTATTGTAAATCCCAATATTTTCATCGGATACTCCAGATTTTCCATGGATACTCCAAGCTTTTCACCGGAGACCCACAGATTTTCATCGGAGCTCCAATCTTTTCTTGGGTTGGGTCTCCAATTAAAATCTGAGGTCTCTGATGAAAAGTTTAAACTCTCCGATGAAAAGTTTAGGGTCTCCAATGAAAATCTGGAGTCTCCGATGAAAAGCTTGAGGTCTCCAATGAAAATCTAGGGGTCTCCTATAGTACTGTAGTTCTTTTCAAGTCTTTCAAGTTCTTTTCCGAGACTTACTAATTTTTAGAAATGTTTCCTAAAAAATAGTTGAGCAAAGAATACAGAAAGGACAGATATATATATGTATATATATAGAGAGAGATGTGCATCTCAAAGACAGTTAATGTCCGAAGAGTTAAATCACTTATATTTATATATTTGTTAATGTCATCATTACTCATTTAAACTTGTCCCCTAGCTTGAACAACAGTCAGAGGAGAATGAGCTGGCTAACTCTATCCTGATAGAGGTTTCTAAGGCATCCATCCCTAAGTGGATTGAGAAGTTAAAGCGCTGCTATGGTTGGCCTAAATCTGATGATTGCAAATGCATTATTTTTGAGGTAAGTCATGTAATTGCCTGCACTGATAACAAGAAAACTTTGTAATAGAAAGACGACTTTTAGAATCAAGTTTTAAGTTTAGAAAGTCCAATAAACATGGAACCAGTTATTATACGGTGTAAACAGACCCATTTAACTTAATTAGTGATTTGATGAGTGTCTAGTAAAACTATATTCTTTGTAACAACATCAAATGCACTTAAGTATTGCTATAAAGTCGTCTTCCTATTCCATTGAAAGTTTTTTTTTTAAATAAAAAGAAATAATCATTGAACAATTTCCATTTTATGTATTTTAAAATCAAACAGCAGGACTTGATTTCCATTTTATGTATTTTAAAATCAAATAGACAGGACTTGATTTCCATTTTATGTATTTTAAAGACAGGACTTGATTTCCATTTTATGTATTTTAAATTAGATAGACAGGATTTGATTTCCATTTTATGTATTTTAAATTAGATAGACAGGATTTGATTTCCATTTTATGTATTTCAAAATCAAATAGACAGGACTTGATTTCCATTTTATGTATTTTAAAATCAAATAGACAGGACTTGATTTCCATTTTATGTATTTTAAAATCAAATAGACAGGACTATTAAACATTTTCTTCACATCATTCAGCTTTAGAGATCATTAAGCTATAATGAACATCAAATAGATCTTGCACTAAAAACATATAAAATGTCTGCACAATAAAAACTTGAGGATGAGAGATGCATTTCTTTAAAAGACTTTGAATTAAATAAACTAAAATGACCTTAATTAAATTTTAACATGTATATGGTTATTGGAAACAAATATTGATAAATATTTTAATAAGAACTCCCTCCCCCCTCTTATTCTTTTGACGTAGCCTTATAAAATTTCTGCACGGCGGTGCTCGACCAAGAATTTGGGTTAACTTAATAAAAAATCGATTTTAGAAAATTGAACACATTTTAGTATAATTTCCAGACAGGCACTTATGTATTACCGTTTTCTTAATTTCATCTAAATGTCGTCATTCCTTTATATATTTTATCATATTTCTATTTTTTTAAAAACTTTTATATTATTTTTTAATTATTCCTAAGAACTTGTATTTTTCATGAGAAAGTTGTTTAGTTTCTTATTGTTTAACCAGTTCACATTTCTCCAGTATTGACCTCAAATTCTGTTATTTATTATTTCTAGTTTGAAAATAATCTAAACTATGTGTTCAGGGAGCATACAAGCAGTTTAAAGGACGGAGTAAGAATACCGGACCCATTACTCTTGTACTTTATGAAGATCCTCCAGATAATATTCCTAAGATACATATCAGGTAATATTAGAACACTAGCGAGGGTACCCGGCTTTGTGTAGCGTTTATATAAAATTCACAACGTTTTATTATAAAATATCAAGATCAGAGACACCTAGCGACCAAATAATTGTCTTCTTAACTACATCGTGTGTAAAAATAAAGAATATTATGAAATATTAACTATATACGAATACATCTAAATGATCAGTTTCAAATCTAATTAAATTATTTACGATCTGAGTGGAATAATGAAACTCTGTGCATTTATATTTTCTCCTTATATAAGCAACAGATAAAAGTAAAATTAGTAACGATCTATATTGAATTAAATTTGATATCAGCGAACACTCTCTTTCGGTCCCTGGTTAGACTAATAGAGAAAAAAACAATTAAAGTGATATTATTGATACCAAGCTATTGATGTTGCAATGTTCTATAGATCACTAAAGTACATGGCTTGGATAGCAGAACAAATGTTGCCTGTTCATATGCATGTGGAAAAGGTAAAAACTGTTTACAAATAATTTTATGAATCAATAAATGATATTATTTAGATAAAACAGTAACTAGGTATCTTGAAAATTTTCCTAGACAAAAATAAGAAATATTTCTTCCAAGAAGCCATTAATCACCTTTTCTGTAATAGGAAATAACTGGAGAGAATGTTCTCTTTATTGTTTTTGAAAGAAGGAATATATTTGAACAAGAAGACAGAAAAGAATGTTCCCTTTTTTTAAATAATGAAGAGGAAAGAGATGTCCTGGATTCTGCTTGACACATAATTCATCAGTGTTTTAAAAACATTATATCTACACAGAAACTAACCCAACCCTTCTGCTCATACATTCTATTTGTACTTTTCTTTAAATTTTGGAATACTAATTTATCTAATAAAAGAGAAAAAAATGTTAATGAAAAAAATCTCCTGTTGATAGAACGTTTTGTCCCAGAAATTGACTTGTGTTTCTCTAAAAATGCATCAAATAATGAGGAATCTGATAAAATTGATTAATATATATATATATATTTATTCTTCTAACAGTTTTAAGTAATGTTCTATTAGAATTATTATTCATGTCTTAACATTAAAACCTAATTAATATTATAATATTACCACAGTATCTTAATTGCCATAGCTTGAGATTTGTGTATATATATATATATATATATATATATATATATATATATATATATATATATATATATATTTTCCTGTCAGTAAAAATGGAAACAAAACTTTATAAACCTCATGTGTTCTAGGGTAGAAGTATACAGTTTGATCAATGGAGGATAGCTCATGTTGCAGAATTTGGAATCTGTGCATTTAAGACTCCTACTCCAGCACCACAAAGAAAGCAACCTGAACCTAAAGACCCCAAACCTAAAAGAAAGGCCCGGGATGCTTCAGAACCTGCTCCTAAGGCTCGAAGAGACTCTGAACCAGCCCCCGAACCTGCTAAAGAGCCCGATAACATGCCAGGTAAAGAAGCTTCTAAAGACTGTACAGGAGAAGCTGCTAAAGCCCCAGAGTCTGAAATCAAAATGGAGGCTACCAATAAATCAGCAAAAGAATCTGACACTAAAAACTTATTTCAATCTGAAGTATTCAAGATGGCAACTGACCCCGAAACTTTTAATCCAGATGAGTGGGAGGAAGTTCCTGAAACTTCAGATCCATTCCCTAAACTATACAACATGGCAGACCAATCCTTTACTAAAAACGGAAAGAAATACAGAAGAAAAGAACGTGGAGAACCTCCCAAGCCGGAAGTAAAAGTGAGTCAGTTTAATTGTGGACACTGTGGTATTAATTTCAGTAACCTAGTAGAATATACAAGGCACAAAATGTCCTGTGTTCCAGACGAAAACTTTGGTTTAACCGGAGACATAATGGATTCATACGGAGAGTATCTGAAAAATAAATTACCGAAAGACGAAACAAAAATGGATTGTGAGGAAAAAGAATCCCCAGCAAAAACTGAAAAAGTTGAAGATGTGAAAGTTTCAGGTTTAAAATTTGATTTTCTAACTGGAGATTCTGTCAAGGCAAGAAAAAAATCCCCCGAAGAGCCATCCTACACCTGTGGAAACTGTGATGCTGGATTTGAGAAGCTTAAAGAGTACACAAGTCATAAAATCAGTTGTAAGGAATCTTCTTCAATGGATAACAAACTAAATGACAATCATGTTCCACAAAATAACTCAAAACCAGTTCAAAATAATTTTGAGGCCCCAAAAGAAAAAGACAAGAAGCCTAAAACCACTGAAGAACAAAGTGAAAATAAAGAAAACGCAAATTTGAACAATATCAGTACAGAGCTTCCACTAGGAAAAGAAGAAGAAAAGATAAAAGAAAAGATATCTCAAGATATTTCAAGCAAAGACTCCAAGGTATTAACAAAGCCTCCTAAATTTCTGAAACCTAAAAAGGATTTAAAAGATTCCCAGACAGAAGATGGGAAACCCAATGCAAACAAAGAACAAAGAAAACTAGTATTTAAAAGTGGGATTGATGACAAGAGTAAAGTGGAAGTGGGAAAAGGAAACATACAAATGGAAAGCCTGCGTGAAAGCTTACCGCCAGCTTCTAAAACCCCAGGTTTGTGTTGTATCCTACTTCTTACTTCAGTGCTTATAACAACCCTATTCACTATAGCTAAGTTCATATATTATGCATAAAACTGTTTTGTAAATATTAAAGGGTTTGTGTGCAAACACTGTTCTGTTAAAATATCTGCTTAATGTCGTGCCTTGTTTTAAACCTAAACAGAATCTCATGTAAAAAGTAAAAAATTTAACATTAAACAAAAAAGTAATGATTTGGGGGGTCAATCATTCCTTACATTCATTCCTCAATATTTCTTTCATGTGAAGTTGCAAGCAATTAAGCAGACTCCAAGCAGACTGATAAACTATAATGTTGTGTGGTGGTGAGTGAGTTTGAAAGGAAAGATAAGCTTACCTCCCACACATGTATTTATTTAGACCTTGCATATACATTTCAGCCAAATTTAATTTAATTTTTAAAACAAATATTTTTCCATGTATGCAAGTTTTTCTTTAGTATGATTTTGTAACTAACATCTCTATTGTTTATCTCTCTCGTTGCATGCTGATATTTGGTGATCTTAAAGGACAGGTTTCCATTTATTTTCTGTTTTTCTAACAACCTCGGAGTTTGTATAACACAACCAAACCTAGTCAATGCACAAAAATGATATGGATTAATAAAAATATTTCTATTTAGAACTTGTTAATACACTTGAGACCTTTTCTAATAAAACTAAGATTATATCTTCCTTGTGTAGCGCCCTTTGAACAATGAAAATCTTTTTTAAAAGATGAATTTGAATTTTAAAGTGTCTCTAACCTTATTATAACTGTGCAGAACTGGAAGCAAAGTTGAATCTTGAGGATCCTAGAGAGGAGAAGAAGATAAAACAAAACAAGTCTAAAAATGATCCCAGTGAAATAAAACATTCCAAAACTGAAAAATTTAAAAAATCTGAAGAGGTTGAAAAAGAAGATCTAACATTCAAATGTTCCTCTACTAAGAAAGAAAAGATTAAGGGTATAAATATAAATGGAATTCAACCAGCAGAAAACATTATTCCAGATAGAACTATCCAAGTAAAGCATGCTATAGCCGAGAACAACAATGATGGTTCCCTAACTCCACTAGGTGAATCTGATGTCACTAAGCTAAATAGTCCAAATACTGTTAAAAAAATGGGAGTGAACAAAAATGTGCATTCCATGCACTCCAAGATAAAAACTGAATCTGAGAAAACTACCCCTTCGCTAAACAAAACAATTGATGGACTTGATAATGAAGCTATTCGCTTGTCAAATGAAATTTTCAGTTTCTCCAACCCTGAAGAAGAGAAACATAACGTAAAGGATATAAGTATAAATACAAAACCCAAGCACACCTATGTTAAAACTTCATCCAAATCCCTAGCTCACCCTTTAAGTCATGGTCCCTTAGATCTTGAAGCTATAAAACTATCAAATGAAATTTTTTCTGAAAACACAAAAATGAGTTTAGAAGAACTTCAGATGAATGAAAGCCTTCTGCAACAGAGCAAACAATCTTCATCTAAAGCAGATTCAACAAAAGCTGAAAAAGAAGTTATTACTATGATCGAAAAAAAGACAGAAAGTCCAGAAATGATGAAACAGGTTCAGCATGCTAGACAATGCTTTGTTGTTAACAAACCAATACAAGATGAAAAAGCATCAGTTTTTGATGCTTCCTTGAAAAAATCTTCTTCTGATGCAGAAATCAAACCACATGTTAAGTGCGATGATAAAGATCTCAACAAACCCATATCGGTCTCAAAATACAAATCTAATGAATATAAGAATGATGTTCACAACAATAGACCACGTTTCCTTGGACTTTCCAGATTTGATGATCCAGAAAATTTCAAGCTTTCTCCTTCTCCATCAATACCAAATCTTAAATCTGCTGGGAGTGGGAATCATGAACTTCAAAGACCAGTTAGAAATGCTACATTTGCAGATTTATCCATGTCCAAATCTGATTTCCCAGACTTACATTCGTTATCAACCTCTTCATCTTTTGCCTTTGAATCTAGCAAATCTGTTTCACCAAAACAAATAAGGAAAACATTCGACAGAAACTTCAACGCCAGCCCTTCCCCATTTTCAGGTGGAAAATATAGTGTTCACTTTTCCGAACCTCAAACACTATCTAAGCTTGGATCATCATTGACTTGGGTAAAACATTCATCAGGTTCAATCTCAAACAATCATTCCTCTCTCTCAGCATCAAGTCTGGTAAACTCGAGTAATCAATCAACAAATTCCAAATATCAGAGCTATCCGTCCTCAACAAAACATTCCAAAGGAGAATTAAGAGCAAAAAGTGAAGGATCATCAACAGGACAAACTTACTCAGTTACTAAACCATCAAACAACATGTCAGCAGACCTACTTAGACAAATTCAAGTAACAAAGGAGAAGCATAGAGAAAACTGTGAGAAGGCTTTAAGTTTTGAGAAACCCCAGTTTAAGCCTCCAATGTACAAGGATAAACTGCCCCGGCCTGGGAATGACTATGCGAGGTATAACACGATGGAAAGAGAAAAGCTAGCCAGGAGAAAGGAACGGGAGAAAACAGTAATCAACAACGTTCTAGCAGAGAGGGCTGGACGAGCAACATCTTTAGAAAATAAGTATAGAATTTAAATTCACATAATCTTTTTAAAAATATGTGCAAGGACTTTTTTGCAAGAGCTTTAGTTGCAGGATGAGTTTCTATATTCTAATTGGGAACATTTTATCTACTTTTGTAGAACCTAGGAAAGGATTCCATTAACTTTCACATTAATCTAAAAAATTAAAATTAATGAAGATTGTATATCCTTCATAATTTGTCCAACATTTTTTTGCGAAATTGTGATCATTTCTCAAATTGAAAATTTAATAATTCTAGGCTTTTAGGGCGCTTCGCGCCCATATTCTATTTCAATGGTGAACATTTTTCCTATGCACACATTGTAAAACAAAAACAAAAAAGTTCGCGGATTTCGTAAAAAATTTCGTGGATTTTGAAAATATATTGGAAATCGAATTTTGTTGGAGGCCAATTTTTGAAATGAAATCATCCATAAACCTTCCCTGGGGTCACGTGATCGGTTCAGCAGTTTTGACGTTTATTGAATACAAACAAACAGACAGACAAGATAAAGTATATGCATAGATTGAGTTCAGAAACGCGTAAACAAAGTGTACTGTCCATATTTCATATCATTTAAAGAAAAATGTAAATCTATACCTTGACTGTAAAAAATCAAACTAAAAAATCAAACTGACATCTTGGAATTTGAAAATTTAAAAGTTAAAAAAATAGTTTGCCAAGTGCAAACTGTCCACTTGGATTCTTTTATGAACAATTGTTAAATATAGGGGTAACAGGAGAACTAATGTGCAATATCGCGCGTTCCGGACTTGAAAAATAAATAATAAATATATATTCTAATATATAAATTGAATTCTGTCATAGATTTAGTATACTAACTAATTTTCGTTTACATATACAAGATGAAGGAATTGAGTCTTCGCCACAAACTCAGATTTTCTAATCTCTATATCTTTTCAACCGAATTTTTAGACCTTGTTTCAAAATATGAATTCTGCTATATCAAATAAGTTTGAAATATTAAAGGTTTACACTGTAAAGTTGCAAAGATATAGGGATTAGAAAATTTAAATTTGTGGTAAAGACTTGATTCCATTTAAGATTTCCTCAAGAGTAATAAATATGAAATATATTTTGTAATTAGTGATTGTAACAATATATTTCATTCCATAAAAACAAAGTTTTTTAATATTTTGTTTAAAAAAAAGAACTCCGAAGATTATTTTATTTCTAAAATGCCTGAAAAATTTTTTATATCTTTTCAATTTCTATCCGAATCTTCTTTTTTGGTGAAAAAATAACGTTAATGTTTTTGTTGTTGATAATATAGCAGTTGTCTCATTTCACGATCGAGGTATTATTATACAGTGAAAACCAGAAAATTGTGGAATAGGCATTCGCCATTAAAGCAAAAAGTGTATTTGATTTCGTAACAATGTAAATAGGTTTACTTTACGGCTTAAAAATTAAGAATTAAAGGGACTGTAAGAATGTAAGGTAGTTGAACTGAGTATGCAGTGTTGTGGATAAATTCTTTAGGATTCATTTGAGACATATAAAACTTTTTAAAGATCTGTAAATCCTGAATTTGAACGTAAATTCGACGTTCAAAATCGTACTTTTGGGTGGATACGTTTTCAGAATTGTTTTTTTAAATATTAAATAACGACAACAAGAAATGTAACAAAATTCTACAGTAAACTAATTAGTTGATCAGGAACAGGTTGAGAAAATAAAAATTAATCTTATCATCGAAAATAAGTAATCTTTTTCAATTATTAGTTTCTATTTTACCATAACCACAAAGATTTTCTGGAATTATTATTGAAAAGACGACATTTAAGAATTTGAAGAAATCTACGAATAAATTCATAGAAAATAAGAAATTCAGTATAATAAAATAATTGATTCTAGCATTGATTTATTGACAAATTTCTTATGAGAAGTATGTTCCTAGCCATCTAATTAGTTTACTGTATAATTTTAACTTTATTTTTCGTCGTCGTTATTTAATAATATTAAAAAAACCCCGATTTTTTAAACGTACCCACCCAAGTTCATGATTTTGAACGTCGACTGTGCACTCAAACTCAGTAATTATACATCTTAAAAAAGTTTTATATATCTCAAATGAATCCTAAAGAATTTGTCCACAACACTGCATACTCAGTTTAACTACCTTACATAGCCGGTCTTCCCCTTTAAGTGAAATGGTCCGAGGACAGGACACACAGCAACATTACCGTGTTTCATGTTTCTTGGTCTAATTAAAATCTTAACTTGAGTCTAAACGTGGTATTCCTATTTACAGTCTTACAGTATGTGCACTTAAAAATGTTGAGTTTCTCTCCCCAACAATAAACCTTCAAAAAACAATTATTACGAAAAAGAAATATAAATATGAAAAGATATTTTTTACCATGAAACTTAACATGCGGTTTTTAATGATTCATGTAAACTATTTAGCCTTAAAACATGTTTATTAACAACTTATATAAATCAAATTGAATCTATGTTAAAGAACATGTGATTGGAAACTATAGAGTTTGTAAAACATAATATATTTGTTTGCAGTACAACTTAAACATGTAAAAACAAACTATAGAGTTTGTAAAACATAATATATTTGTTTGCAGTACAACTTAAACATGTAAAAACAAACTATAGAGTTTGTAAAACATAATATATTTGTTTGCAGTACAACTTAAACATGTAAAAACAAAAGTCTCCAACAATTCAATTTCTAAGGATAACAATGCTCTTAAGGGGAAGTCAAAATAACTAAAAATAAACTAACTTTTATTAAAGTATATATAATTTCTATCAGTAAAAATTGTATATTTTATAAAATAGTCATGTGTTATGTTATTAATGTAATCCATGTAATCCATGTTATCCATGTTATCCATGTTATCCATGCTAGCTATGCAGGAAAAGATGAAGATGCATTTGATTTTTATAACATTATAATATATATTCATGCAGTAACAATATTTATATTATCAATTAAATAAATAAATAAAAGTTCTTCAATCTTCATGCTAAAAGACCAATTAAATATATATCATATCATTCTTATGCGTGTAATAGTACATATACATTATAAATATACAATTGCACATTACACACAATATTGGGTTGTAAATATAAAACATAGACGCGTACAATAAACAAAAATCAAATTACTACTCGCCTTGAACTCTGATTTTATAATCCCTGTTTCTTTGCAACCTAATAGTGTAAACCTGTAATATTTTAATACTTTTATTGCATTATCTGATCTAGCAGACTTTATAGTTTGATTTATCAATTAGGTTAATAACATCAGGTTGCAAAGATAAACGGACTAGTAAAATCTAGTATGAGGAAAGTAATCAGTTCTTATCTAATTTTCTAATTCACATTACTAAGATTAACACAGACTCAAATTTACTATACTTACTCTAATTTCCACTGTAAACACAAAACGGCCGGCACCAGGGGTAAAATTAAGACAAAATCATAGATTTTCATGGATTTTTATATAAATAAATAAATCTGAGTCTGCCAGCTTCGGAATTCATGATAACAATGATGATATCATTACTCTCTTTTACGTCAATCCTAAAAGTTTTCAGATTTTAGACACATTGTTCTCCAGAAATGGAAAGCATTTCTTAAAGGGAGTGTTCGCGAAAAATGAAAAGGGGTATAGGCTTAATGCGATAAAAAAGCGCTTTTGATCGCCACTAATTTTACTTCTATCTGATGCGTCTATAAGGAGAAAACTGTTAAACTGTTATTTTATAATATTAAATTTTTTTAGAGAACGTTTTAACGGATTTCGAAAAATGTGAGTGGTGCGCGGCATTCTTAGATAGTTGCGCAAGCAACAAGAGAAAGACTCAAATTCAAAACAAATTAATTAAAAAATATTATAAAATATAAACTATAATATACAAATGTGGCGAAAGATAATCGATGACTATAGGTTGTAATATCTGAATGATTTGTTTGAAATTAAATTGATTTTTTTACGGTCTAAGTTGTATGTTGCAAATTTTCTGAATTTGTATGGGCGCTAAGTTATTCGGTATGAGATGTCTTTAACAATTTTCTCCTTATAGACGCATCAGATAGAAGTAAGATTTGTAGCGATCAAAAGCGCTTTTTTATCGCATAAAGCCTATACCCCCTTTCATTTTTCGCGAACACTCCCTTAAATATACCTTCCTAGGAGAACTTTGATAACGAACTTTATTTTGGATCTAGTTCTAAACATTAATACATTACCTATCAAAACATTAAAGCACTATGGAGTACAGAATCCGAGTGTTAAAGCTATATAGGGCTGCCAATCGTTTTTAAAACTTTAAAAAACTTTAACATTTCAAAACTATATCCTGTTTTTGGTTTTTTGCAAATATTTTCTAATTGGATTAAAAGCAGATGTTTAGAAGATTAATTTTGAAATTTGTAAAACTTCTTAAATTGAAACTTTGTATAAAGGTCTAAAACCCCTAAAATTATTTGCAAATAGTTTTTGATCGTTATATATTTTTGGGCCTTTTTTTAATAAATTGAAATCTGAACAAAATTCTTTATATTTTCGGTAATTTTTGAACCCCGCTAAAAAATAAAAGCCAAAATATCTTGAAAAGTACTAGTACTAGGGTACTTTTGTGATGTTGTTTCAAAGTATAGAATATTAAATGACTGCTACACATTATTTCAAACATCAAAGATAATCTTCAAGTCGTGTCTCTCAAACTTTATGTGACGCTTGGGACACCCTGAAGATATTTTACACAAATGCATAAAGTACACTATACCCTGCAAAGTGCATACCAGGGTTTACACCAAAGGATTAGACTTCAGCTTAAAATATATTTTGCATTAACTAAAACTTTCTTCTCCTACTTCCTAGATGACGTCATTGAAGTCTCATTATTTGTGATTACCCTTTTTATTGTACAGGGTGTCCCAAAAAAAAATGGGAATTCAGTGACGAATTCGATATCGTCTATGTTATGATTTAGCATTGTAATACCTAATTTCAAAAGCAATAATATTATTATGTCTGCTAGAGTTTATTTTATGAAAAGGGTAAAAGACTGTAAAGATGTGTCTATAATGTCTCCGCAAGATGAACAGTGAAGACGGACAAGTTTAGTCTGTTTGTATACTGCAATTTTCTTGTTTTACTAAGTTCACCCTTATGCAGTCAAAACATAAACAAACAAATTGTAAACAGAGCAGACGAAACTCTTACAGATTACAGCTTTCTCAGTAGGCATCACGATACTAAATCAAAGAATTATTTAAAAAGACGATATCGAATTCGTCACTGAATTTCCATGTTTATTGGGACACCCTGTACATATATAATAACAGGTCCGCACTCTGGAATTGTGTACACAATAACTCCGCATACATTTAACGGGAGCTCCTCCCATTCCTCCAGATCCTCCAATTCCTCCAGAACCTCCAATTCTTCCAATTCCTGTAGTACCTCCAGCTCCTCCAATACCTCCAGAACCTCCAATTCTTCCAATTCCTCAAATTCCTCCAGATCATTCAATTCCTCTAGTGCCTCCAGCTCCTCCAATTCCTCGAGAACCTCCAATTTCTCCGATTCTTCTAATTCCTCTAATTCCTCTAATTCCTCTAATTCCTCCAATTCCTCCAATTCCTCCAATTCCTCCAATTCCTCCAATCCCTCCAGTTTCTACAATTCCTCCAGCTGTACTACCAGAACCACCATCAGAGCCATTCCAAATTTTAGAAGATGATAAAAGTTGTAATAAATATAGATTAAAAGTGTTCAAGGTTTTGTTAATAAATTTATTTAATGTAAGATATTTATATGTATTCAGAAATATTAGTTATAGAAATGTTTTTTTTGCGACCTTTGAATGATAAACCGTGGAAAAAGTTGCTGAAGAAATTTTCGTGTCTCCCAATTTTTTTAAGCTAACTGTAACGTCAATTATTTAAGCAAAAATATTGTTTCGTATTCGTAGATCTAATCAGTTCACAGATACAATTATCAATTGGTTTAGGTAAAGTTCGAACGAAAAGAGACCAAACCACCAATTATGTTTAAAAACTTGTTAAAGACAATGAACAGTTTTCCTTTGACAGAAACGCATCGTTTTTCATCCGAAATCTTTTTGTGCAAATAGTTTAAATGAAAATAGGGTGTACGTAAATACAAAATAGATTGATAAATTACAAGTTTAAGGAATTGAGTTTTTGCGACAAACTTAAATTTTCGAATTCCAATATCTTAGCGATCTGATGTTGCAAACATTTGATATTTCAAACTTAGATCAGTTGAGCTAACAGAATTCATAGTCTGAAATATCTAAGGTCTACGAAATATCTAAGGTCTCCAACATTTGGTTGGGACAATATAAGGATTAGAAAATCAAAGTTTGTTGCAAAGACTCAATTCCAAATTTGTCTGCATCTGAAAAGTTTCTACAAACTTGACAATATTGTACTTCAGGATGGTTATATGTATAGGGTTACCAACAAATAGGAAAAATATTCAGACGACTAGATATTTAGCACTGAAGAGAAATTGATCCTAAAATATCATCTGTTTTGAATCATGTATACAGATCAAAGAAATTAAGTCTTTGTCACAAACTCAAATTTTCTAATCCCTGCAGTGCTAACCAGAAAACTCTGAAATAGGAACACGACTTTTAGAATGAGCATAATATTCGAAGGACGAGGATTCCGATGTGGCTCGGACAAGAAAAAGAGGAGCATGTGGCTCGGACAAGAAATTGTAGTGGCTGGCCTTCCTCCCCTCATGAGACACAGCAATTGTGCCGAGTAAACAGGCCAGGGAACAAGAATAAAGGGAATGGAATTGGCACTGGTCTGGCAGGGAATGCCAGTCGCACTGCTTTGCAGACGGGTTCCTTATTTTTAGCGCATGCGCCCGAACCACTCAGCTATTTAACCTTACAGTCAAGGAAGGTGCAGAACAATGTCGTCAAATATAATTAAGCTTTAATAACGAGTAGTTTATTGTAAACTTTAATCAAATTATATTCTTTGCATGAAAATTTGAAAATTTCACTTATGTGCTGACTTAGATATATAAATATATATATATAGTATATTAAATGAAAATTAAACTTATTTTTAAGTAAACAATTAACAATAAACAAATGTACCCTCCTAGACTGTACAATACCGAGATTCGGTTTAAATTATTACAAACGCATTCTTTTGGTACAGAGACACACACATGATGTTTCCGCCCCCTGACACAGACCCATTTATCTAAATTAGTGATTTTAAGTGTCTAGTAAAATGTATTGCTTTGAAACAACAGCAAAACACTCGAGTTGATAAAATGTCGTCTTCCTATTCCATTGTTTTCTGGTTATCACTTTATATCTCGGAAACCTGATGGTGTAAACTTTATTCTTAGTTTAAACTCAAATTATTTGATACACCAGAATTTATTTTATTAGGTTGCAATGCTTTAGGGATTAGTAAATCAGAGTTAGTGTTTAGGACTCAATTCCTTTACAAGAAAAAGGAATTGAGTCTTTGGAACAAAACCAAATATTTAAACCTCAATATCTTCAGAACCCGATGTTGTAAACCTTTGATATTTCAAACTCAGATTATTTGATTTAACAGAATTAATAGTTTGAAATATCAAAGTTCTGCAAAATTGGGTTCCAAAGACATAGTGATTTGAAAATCAGAGTTTCTGGCAAAGACTCAATTCCTTTGTCAATAAAAACTGAGCTGGGAACTTTAGAATGGGATACCATTAATCCCGATTGCTTAATCCGAATATCCACTTTTGATTTCTTGCTTAATCCACTCTTTTTTGGAAACTTATGAATGGTGGATATCGGGATTAAGGCTTAATCCACTCTTTTTCTCAATCTCCAGAGCTGAAAACTTTAGAATGAAATATCCAGATATCCCGTCGAATAATTAATCTGAAGATTAAAATCATGCATTAATCAAGCAATATTTAATCTCGAGATTAAGAAAAGGAGTGGATTAAGCCTTAATCCTGATATCCACCATTCTAAAGTTTTCAGCTTAGATTAACATAATCTTGCAAGATTATCTTAAAAGTGTATGAAAAACAATAAAATTCAAATTAATATTTAATCATCTGAGAAACTGTAGCAGCCAATCAGAGAAAAGCAGGCAACCAATGAGAGAACAGAAATATTCTTATTGGAGAAAACAATTAACGGATATCCATGGAGAGAGAAAAAGAGTTGATTAAGGACTAAAATGAAAAGTTTCCACAGTGGATATTCGGATCAAGAAGTCAGGATTAAAGTTTATCCATTCTAAAGTTTTCAGCTCAGAAAAATCGAAAACCGGTTTTTTAAAATTAAGAGTATTCCCGTTTCTGTATATTGATCTTAAATGGCGCGAAAAATTTCAAATTTATCGGCTTCTAATACGCGACTCCACACACACTTTTCTGAATACAAGCACAAGATTAAGTTAGTCTCGAGATTAAGAAAAAGAGAGGATCAAGCAATAATCTCGATATCCACCATTCTAAAGTTCCAAGCTCTGGACTGATTTATTTTTATCATGTTAATATTATTGTAATCAAGTGACCCCTTTTTTGGGACATATCCGATTCACAACAGTATCGAATTCTGGCATCTTCTATTTGTAAAGAAACCACAGTTAAAAATGTTCACTTAGGAAAACTAGAATATCTATCAGAAGTTGAAATGGTCCCTCTGTGAACCGGTCATTCAATTTAAAAAATGAAGAGGAATTTTAGTCTTTCAATTCCTTAAATAATGTTTAAAGCATATTCGGTTTACACATCAATTCATGTATTGTTAAAATATGATTAGAAAGCTCTTTCCAAACTTCCAAGACTATATTTTCACGATAACAACTGTCCTAGTATATTCGCTGTATGTTCCAAAGAGGTAAAAAGTATTAAACTTTGGGTATCTGAGATGGAATCTGGGACCTCTGGGTCAATTTTATCCTGAACTACAGGGTGTCCCAAGAAACATGACAGTAGCAAGACGACTTTACATTCAGTTGTTAACCTTATTTAACATATGTACTATTATTGAAACAATTTCTACATGATTAATTCTAGCCCTGGTCAGCCTTTTTTGTGCTTTCAATATTACCGGAGATATTAAGAGTTTTGTTCAGATTTCAATTTTGTCAAATTAGACCAAAATTGTCGAAATCTGAACGAAATTCTTCATTTCCCGAGCAATAATGAAAGCAAAATAAGGCTGACCACCTTTTGGAAATGCCAGGACTAAGGGTATTTTGTGATTATTATATCTAGAATTTTACTTTTAAGTTCAGGAATTGACAAATAAATGCAGCAAATTGTATCAAAAATCAAAAGACCTTCAAGTCGTCTTGCTATTGTCATGTTTCGTAGGACACCCTGTATGTTGAAACGCCTTAAAAATCAATTTGCGAGTTTCGTCATTGTACAATATACACTTGAGCTAATCTTTAATTTTTTCAAATAAAAAGAAATAATTTTTAAATTTATTTTCTGTATGTATCTGTACACAAGAAATATCTAAATAGAATATCTATACAGGGGAGTCAAGAGTGGGAAAGTCGCTGAACAGGGGAGGGGGAGGGGGATATAACCCCATTTTATACCGTTTAAAATTAGGGGAGAAAAGACCTGTAAAAATCAAATAGAGTTTTGTGCAATATAAAACCCCCTTGACTAGTAGATTGAGGGGTAAGGGTACAAGGCTAATCGATAAACAAGAACCAATAACTGACAATATCGCAGCTAATATTGATTCATTAATGCCGGCGACCAAGCCCCTTGTTTAATGACCAACCCTGTATATAAGTTAATCAACAAGGTGTAAATGTATGTGTACTCAATGTACAAGATAGGAATAGTACATAAAATCAAATTAAAGCAAAACAACTAAATAAAATACATAAACTAAGACATGATATGTTAACTCGTAAAACCTAGATTCATGGGTTCTAGACGCCAACGCTAAATGTAGTTTACAAGCAAGACATATTCAAGAAACAGAAACCTAGGATTTATTAAATCCTCTGTAAGAATTCGCCATCATAACCAAGGTGTGAAGGTTAAGATATTGTTTGGTGTTCATAACAGATTCAAAACTGATAACAGGTTCACTGTAATCTTACCAATTATGATGAAAAAACAAATAATTATATTTTGACTTTTGAGGAAGGAAAACTAATAAATCCAGGGTATATTTGAACCCCTCACGATTAAATCTACAATGCTTTAGCTAATATTTATGGATCTGTTGAATCATACACCTTAAATAATAAATTAAATCTAGCAATTAGCGTCTAGAACACTAGATCTTTAAAGCTTAAAGATGCATCAAGAAATAATAATGTCCAGCTTGAAATTAATATAAAAATAAAAAATGATTGAATAAATGTAAAATATTATGGGTGCACTTCGTTCAGTTGAATCTGAACACTAACTTGACTGTGTGTTTAACACGACATGACGCGACTTAAAATACAAAAATATATGTATATATAAATATATATACTTTATCAACTGATCAATCAATTTTTAATGTTCATATTGTAAAAGGGAAACTCAAGCTTCCTTGCCATGCTTCTTCAGGGGAGGCGGAGCTCGGATTCTATTTTGCTGCTGATTAATCAGCTGCTGCTGTTGCTGTTGGTTCATCAGCTGCTGCTGCTGGTTGAGTAGCTCTATGGCCTGCTGCGGGCTCATGCCCGACATGCTGGCCATCATGTTGAAAGCAGCATTTTGAGCAGCGTTCTGAGCAGCTATTCTTTGGTTTCCCATGAGATTTGGAAACATGAGAGAGGTTGGATCAATGGTTCCTCCAGGGAACTGTAGAATAGGTTGGGATATCTGTATACCAGAGAGGGAGGAGGGAACTATAACACTACCAGGTAGAGCTGAGGTTAGGGTAGTACTAAGGGTGGTAGAAGGAGAGTATTGAACACCCTGTGAGGTTGTTAACTGATTACTGTTTGACGATGAAGGAGAGTACTGGTTAGTATTGCTCAGCTGAGAGATGAATTGAGGAGCAGTTGGACCCAGGGCTTTCTGGATTTGAGCTCTTAAAGACGATTCCTTGTTCTGCTTACTTGGTTTAGAGTTAGCACTGGGTCGAGATGAAACCAAGGGAGCCTGAAGTTGTTGAACTAAACTAGAGGATAAAGTTGGGTTCGGTTTAGTCGGAGAACTTGTTGTGAAGCAGCTGAGACGATCTAGAACTGTTGTCAGGGATTTCTTATTAACGGTTTGAATACCGGACGGTTTGCCGCTGCTCAGTTGAACTGGACGGAAATTCGAGGAGGCGGTGATCGGCGGGCGTGACATTACTTTTGGCGAGGCCCTAGCGGGAAGAGACTGCTGAGCAATAATATGTGGAGGAAGGCCAGGGCTCTGGGTTTGCAACAGCTTCGCCATGTTAGATATTGGGTTAACGGTGGCCCCTGACGAGGTTATCGTTCTTTTTAGTATTGATAACCCACCTGGAGAAGCGGTTGGTGTTCCAGACTTCTTACCAATTTTGATTAAACCATCTTGTTTGTCCGTGGTCTTACTCATTTTAGGGGTGATTGTGATTTCAGGTTTAGGGGACGGTTCACGGGATTTATTAAGTTTAGCTTTGCTCGCTGCAGCCAACACCTCAGCAATAGAATTATTAAAGGTGAGAGGTATAGCACCTGAAGATTCTGTGCTCTTAAACAACTGGGAATTACTGCTCTTGATTCCGGACTTAACAGTTGTTTTATCCTCAACACTATAGGTTGAGTTAGGATCAGAGAGTAGTTTAGATAGGTTCGGAGTTCCATGCTGAAGCAAGGCAGTATTAATAGGATTATGCTGCTGACCAGAAAACTGAAAGTTTAACGATTGATTACTTGAGGTTGTGTAAACACTACTGGGTTTACTTCTCTTCTCAACTATATTAGCGGAACTCTTAGCAATAAGACCAAGGTGCTGCATGAGATCTTGTCTGACCCTAATCTTAGGAGTCGGAGACAGCGAATTAGCTCGCGTTAACTCAAGAGACTCCGGAGAAAGGATTGAGTTAGGAGAAACTAGACTTTGAGGTATCCTGGGTATCCTTAAGATAGTTGACTCTTTGAAGGGTTCAAGTTTAGGACTAGGCAAATCTGTGGGTAGGTTGGCAAGCACAGCTTCCCCTGGAATATGGGTGAGAGTGGGTGCAGCAGGTTCCTCTAGGTCAGGACGGGTATTTGCTGATAAATCTGCATCAGACTGTTTTCCTTCATACGCAGTTATCCGGTTCTTAACAGACTTAAGGTAAGATGCAGATTTAAGGGATGCTGTAGGAGCAAGAGTTAAATCACCGCTTCGCCAATATTTTTCCAGGAGAATAAGATGCCGGAAGAAACTAGTGTAGTTTCCGTACGGATAGTGTAAATCCTGCCACAGTTTCTTAGTGTTCATATCAAACTGAATATTTACAGCACATTTGTCAAAGCTCTCTCCATCTGGAATAGGTAACGGGGATCCAGAGTTTACGTGGATTTTCGACTCACTACTAGGAGACGCAAAATCCTTCTCTTTTCTCCGCTTCCTGTCTCCAGAATCAGGGGTATGGGCGGAGATGGTAATTTTACATGAACCCTCAGCATGCGACACTTTGAACATCTTCTTGGGACCCTTGTCAGCTCCCTTTGGTTGTGGTTGAGCAGGTCCAGCTGGAGCAGGTTCCTCTTCCTCCTCCTCGCCAAGCTCAAGGAACACATATAACCTTGAAAAACAACAAATTAATAGTTTTTTGTTGTTAAAAAAAATTGAAGATTTCTTATTGTTCGTCCATGCATAACAAATCCGAGATGAATAATAATTAATAGGGTCATTTCTTTATTAAATTTCTCTTCTTGACGGCTATCCCACGGTACCCTTCAAAACCGAAGTTTTAAACTTTGAAAACCAATTATTTTCAATTGTGTTTTTTTTAAAAAGTGACTTGCGCATTTTTACTGCTGGAAAGCATACAGGAATAATCAGAATTAAACCTCAAAAAATAATTCTTCCACATAAATGATCAGATAAAGGGTTCAAGGGTACTGTTGTGAATCGGGCGTTGAAATATTGTCATTGAGGGTCCATTGAAATTACGCTTACATTCCCTTCGAGCATTCAGATTTTATAATAAGTTCTAAATATTTTGATTTTATTCAATATTTACCTCCGTCGGTAATCCTTGTAAAATGCTTTGTGGGTTTTATGATTTTTGAGATAATCAGGTTGCAAACTCTTCTGCTTGATCCCGCAAAATGTTTTGCAGAGTTTACAGACGAAATTATTCTCCTTAAGATCTGCTGGTATATGATCCTCACGGAGCAATATATTCATCTCTTCAACATCCTTCTTCGTCATTCCTAATGTACAAATCCCGCCAACAGTTAACTTTCTCCGGCACAATCCGCAGTTGGAGTAGAATTCTATCATTGAGTTGTGTTTCGAGCAGAGTAAGAACGTTGCTTTCACAGAGGCCTTGGATACCTTGTCCCAGTCCAGTGTTACTTTCTTCATTAATCGTTTCTTTAGACGGATTAACCACTTCTTTGATACCGACCCTGTGACTGCTCGATTACAGCTTCGGATGAGACATTTTTTAACCTTTTCCTCTTCTTTCACCATCTTGGAACCGTTCATATCACGGGCCTGAGCACGCCGGTCGAGGAAACGGAAACAACGATCACAGAGGCAGGCATCAGTTCCAAACCCTGTGAACTGCATTGCAAACTCCTGTTTCTCCAGGGTTTTGAGCTGAGCTACATGAAGAGGAGTGTCGAGCATACCAAATTTGAGACCGCAATAATAACAACAGTCTGCACAGGTTCGTTCAGGATGAATGTTAAATGAACTCGCCTTCTCAGGAACTACAGTACTCGGACCTTTTCCTCTAAAAATAAACAATTAAAATCAGGATTTTTCAAATAAATTGCATAAAAACCACAAAGATATTTATAATAAAGTTTTCTATAAATAAGTTTAAATAATATTAATCTTATGTGTGAATTGCAAAAACAAAAAGTTGTTGGAACTTGAACTTGTTAAGACTAACCCAGATTTCTCATCTCCAGATTTCTGGCTGTCTGGTGAATGTTTTCCATCTGTATCCTCAGCCTGTACTCTAGCCTCCAGCTCACGAACAGATGCTGTTGAGGTTCCTGAGGCTGCTGAGTTGGGGCGAGCGTTTCCAGCCTCTTGTGTGTGTTTACTACGCTTGGGACGTATATCCTTCTTATTTGATGGATCAAGATCATCCTCTGTATCTCCTAGAACATATTCATCCTTTTATTTTACAAAACATGTAATATATCTGAAAACAGCATAACAGCTAGTTAACAGTTGTGCTAAAGATAAAAATAAATAACCTCAAAAAAACTTAGTCATTGCCAATCCCAATTTACAATCTGATATAAGATAAATATAAGATGTTAAATCTTAAAATCCCCACCCCCACAGTATTTTCAATAAAACATTCCAGCTTAAAACCCCATTTAAAAAAAAATTCTTTAATCTATAGTCTATTTTATGGATGACTTATTGTAAGGATTGACCAGCCAGGCAGCTAGTAGAAAATATCAACTAATATTCTCACCTCCATCACTTTCCATTAATCTTCGCTTCCTTCTCTTCCCAAGCTTTGTTTTCTCCACCCCTGATCTACCCATAGAGGTATCGGTATCATCAGACATCATCTCACCGTTTAGTTTCATTAACGGGAAACCTCCAGGACCACTGTGCACCGCCATAACAGCGGCGATGGCGTCCTGCTGGGAGAGAATAGTAGGTGACACTTCAAACCGTTTGTGCGGAGATTTGTTGCGAGGTGTGAGGGTACTAGAGGAACCAGGACGTGGATCCGGTATTGAGATCTCCAGAGGTGATGCATCCAGGACGGAGCCTGTTACCAGTAGGTTGGGTGTGCTGTGCTCAGACTGGGTGAGAGCATCCAGGTCTAAGGTACTAAGTGGAATATCTTCGTCGTCTGTAAAGTCGAACACCTCGGTCCCCATCTGGGATAGAAACGATCGGGTTCTTGACATCCCGACAGGTTTCACGACAGGAGGGTCAGAGATCGGGATGAGGGCGGGAACAGGAGTTTCAACCTTCTCACGCACCTGCTTTACGGGAGATTTTTTAGCGAGTCTCACCTTTCGCAAAGACTTTGTTAGTTCCGAGTTATTCTCAGTTTCCTCTTGAGGAATGTTAGACACTGTTTGGCTAGGTTCCGATAATACCAGCTTTGTTTCGGAATCTGAAATTGGGATTTGTGCCATGATTTGATCTTTAGAGTCCAAAACTGGTTTCAGATCTGGTAGATCTATTTGTTTCTCAAGTACAGGAGGAGGATCATCATCATCCGTTAGTTCGGATTCAGATTTCAGTTTAGTTTCTCCAACTGGGAAAAGAGAAGGTGTGCTGGAAACCTGTGATTCTAGGACAATCTTTGGGACTGAAACTACTTGGTGGGTTAGGACCGGTTTAGGAGTTATAACAGGTTGTGGAGTTAAAACAGGTTGTGGAGTTAAAACAGGTTGGGGAGTTAAAACAGGTTGGGGAGTTAAAACAGGTTGGGGAGCTAAAACTGGTTGGAGGGTTACAGCTGGTTGGGGTGCTAAAACAGGTTGTGGAGTTAAAACTGGCTGTGAGGAAACAGCTGGTTGGGTAGTTACAGCTGGTTGGATAGTTACATCTGATTTTTGGGTAATGCCCAGTTTTTCTACGATGCTTGGTGTGGGAGCAAGAACAGGTTTTACCTCCAGTTTAAGATCTGTTAAACTATCCACCTTCTCAACTTTAAAATTAATAGGATCCATCTTGAGTCGAGTAGGAACTGTTTTGGAATCATCTTTCGCTCTCTTAGGTTTTTTGGAAAATTCTTCTTTAATCTTCTTTTTGACCTCCTTCTCTTTCAGTGTTTTACGTTTCAATACTTCCTGCGTGTCTTTGGCAAATATGTCATTCATCTGTGAGAATAGTTTGGATTTATCAAAGGGTAACTCCTGCTTAATGTTTAGATCCTCCTGTTTACCATTGGATTCTTGGTCCTGGAGAACTACCATGGGAACATCGTCAACAGGTACATCTGCTAGCTCTGTAATAAACAGATATGGAATAGTTTATTCAGAAAGTTTATTCTTTAAAAAAATCATTTATTTCTGTATTGTAAGTTCATACTTCTCAGCATTAGTTTATTTTTTAACATTATTAATTTGAACATTAAAAACCTTTGAGATAAGAAATCTCATTTATAAATAAAGCCCATTACTTTTCCTAATCCCCTTTATACCTTTTCAATAACAGACAAAACGTATTTATACAAATAAAATCAAATGAAACATATTATTTCTAGAAGATTCATATTCATTAAGAACAAATCTAATTTTTTTTTTTTTTCCTTGCTTGATTTTTAAACAAAGAATCGTAACATTTATCATAAAATTTAAGAACCAAGAAGTAAAAGGTTACGAGAAAAAAACCTTCTGGCGCAAAGATTAAAAAGAAACTGAAAAAACGACAACCTCTTATTTTCTTTTTCCTTTATCTTTGCAATCTGAAGAGATAACTCTTAGATATTTATTTCCAAATCAGACTATTTTATGTAACAGAATTCATGTTTGAAATATCAAAGGATAGGGATTTTAAAAAATACGGATACTAAAATTCGAGTTTGTTCAAAGTGTTTTTACTTTTGATTTTTCGAATATGTTATTTATTTCTTTGTAATAGGGGTTGACTCCCAGCGTACCTATATTAGATATTTCAGTAATAGTTCCATCAGCCTGTATATGCTCAATGTGAACTGACTCCACAGGGACCATCCCAGTCTCAAGTGCATCTAAATTATTTTCATCAAAATTAGAAAAGTAAAATTTTTGTTTTATCTAGATTTTGTCATTTAAAAACCAAATCAAATCTTTTTGATTATTGTTATTGTTAAAGTTTATCTAATTTGTTTTGTTAAAAACTAGAATAAATAATTTAGTTCTTATGTTACATTTAATTTTTTTCATTAGTAGACAAAAATCTAAGTAATGTTGTTAAAAAAAAGAAAAAAATTTGTTTCGTATTTTTTTAACATGTAAATAAAAAACTTTTAAAAAATTGTTGTGATTAATGTTGTTGTTAAAGTATATTTAAATTTTGTTTATTATCTAAACAAGGGAATTTAGTCTTTGCCACAAACTTAAATTTTGTAATCTACATATCCAGTGCTTAGGATCCGGAAGATTTTGGCTTCCTGGATCCGGAAAAATATGCGAATCCACGGATCCGGATCCAAGGGGTAAAATATTAACCAAAAACTGCAAAAAAAACTTTTTTACTCCTAAAACCCAAATTTGAACGTTTGAAAAAAAGAGAGATTATAAGAGTTTCCTCATTTTTGAATGGTTCATCAAGTTTTAGGATAAAAATAAGCAAAAAAATGAAACAAAAAATTTAAAAATGATTTTTTGTTAAAAAAATCAGTTAATCTTATAACAAATGGCCTGGATCCGGATCCAGATTTGGATCCGGCTCCATTTTTTTCCAGTGCGGATCCAGGACCCGGATTCGGATCCGCGTCCGCATCAAAATTAAATGGATCCTAATAATAATTTAAAAAAAACTAATTCTGAAAGCGTATCCACCCCCAAATCAGGAGTTTTGAACGTCGATTTTGCGCTCAAACTCAGGATTTACAGACTTTTAAAAAGTGAAATATGTCTCAAATGAATCCTAAAGAAGTTTTCCACAACACTGCGTCCTCAGTTCAACTACCTTACATAGCCGGTCACTCCCTTTAAACCCGCCAGGTTTTAAAGAGGCAATTGAGAACTATCATTCCTAAGCAGGAAAAACTAAGAAAAATCTTTGTTACCTAAAGTGATGGTAGTGAAGATAGGAATAATGAGGGTAAAATTAATTAATGTAGACTAAAAAACTAGATTTTTAACTTATCACAAATTATAGTTTTTTATAATAGACATTTCGCCTGTCTTCGTTCCCTGAATTGAATAATTGAGACGCTATTTGCATCAATACAAAAAAAACTGGTGGTTTAAGATGTAGAGCAACTGGAGGTTTAAGATGTAGAGCTTTGAGTTAAACTATAAATAAATGTAATACTGAGAATTTTTGAATCACGAATAGCCAATATTTAATCTTTAATTCTTAATACAGGGAAAGTAAATGACTTAAATTCCTGTAGATAAAAAAGCTCAAGAATGAAAATCTTTTCTCAAAACTAAAATGCAATCTTGAGAATGAGTAGAAAGAGCTTCTCCTAAACCTGGCAATATTTTGTATAAAATTAAAATTGTTCTCCATGTTAGTTTATAGTATTTGCTGTACGATGGTTCATTAGAATCATTAATCTAATAAAAGGAGGGGAAAGGATAAGTCTCTCAAAATAAAAAACATATAATATAAACACAGGATAGAGATAAAAATTCCCAAATAATTTATTTCAGAAAGCACTCAATTTTTCTTTAATTTGAAGAGAAAACAATCCTTTACACATAATATTGGAAACAAAAATTATATGCTTAGTCAATTTTCTCCCCTTTTAACCTTCTTTCTTTCATTTTTTGTTTTCTTCTTTTCATTTCTACATTATCTTCTTTTTGTCTCAGAAAGTGTGCCCCCCCTCAGGGTTTGAAAGGGGGGCACGTGCCCCTGTGCCCCCCTAGCGACGGGCCTGTGAACTAGTAAAATCGAACGGAACATTATTTACCAACTAAACTTTTCAAAAAAGGAATAATGAAATATTTAAAAAGAAATATGTAGATGAAAACTTTGAATCCCATTTGAATCCTTACTAAGTTAAAAAAAATTCTGTTCACGTCCCTGCACCCCCCCAGGTTTTAAAGAGGCAATTGAGAACTATCATTCCTAAGCAGGAAAAACTAAGAAAAATCTTTGTTACCTAAAGTGATGGTAGTGAAGATAGGATCTGGTTTATTCTCCTCCTTGCCTTGATTAGCCTGGGTAGTAGAGTAGTTAACTTGTTCTGTACAGATCAGATCAACTACATCTGTATATCCATGCAGGGACTCAGGTTCGCACCCACCACCATGCTCCAGTCCACCTTCAAGTCTAGTTTCACGAGACTGGTCAAGTCCATCATTTAGTCCTGTATCACTATCTGGGACTAGTCCTTCATTTTGTCCGTTATCACGTGACTGGACTAGTCTATCATTTAGTCCAGTATCAAGCTCAAGGGTATCACATTTATTTAAAGAATCGTCAGTCGACATTATTTCTCCGGATTTCGTCTCTAAGCTCGAATTTTCGTCTCCGTCCGACGATGTGAGGGAAGCTATAGAAACGGTCATTACATTGTTAGAAATTAAAAAATGTTTCAGTCTTTATAATAATGTATTTCTGTAGACTGTAAATTATGTCAAGGCTATTCTACAGAAAACTGTGAAAACTTGCAAATTTCGAAGGTTATCTCCGACAAACTATGATAAGATAAATGAATTATTAAAATGTTTAAATTCAACACTTTGATCAGGTTTTTAATTTCCAAAAGAACTGAACCGAAACATTTTTCATGCTCATATCAAAATGCTATTTGAACATAATAATTAGAAAAATAAAAAACAGAGTGCGAAGACTTGTTTCATTTTGCGACCAAAGTTTCATAAAAAGAACAAAAAACGCCTCTTTGAAATAAGAAAAGTTGTATGTCAAGGTTCAAGATAGACAATTCTTCTTAGACAAAATAATAATTTAGACAAGTGTAAGTAATTATGCAATTACGTAACATCAAACCTTGTATTAAGGTATTAGATAAAACAACTAATTTAGTTTAACTAAACGAATAAGAAAAAGTATTTAACAAAAAGAAAAACAACAATAAAATAAATGTTTAGCCCTTGAAAATATGATAAAACTATTAATGAACGTCCCTGAATCTTTGGTTTCTATTTTCTGTGCATTAGGTTGCTCTGAACTCTGATCTGTTTCTCTGGACTCAGAACTTTGAGCAGAAGCTTCAATAGATTTACCATCAAGTTCGGATGCTTCCTTGAATCCACCATTGGCACTGTATAAAAGGTTTATATCTGACAAGTCTGTTAGAATTTCCGAAATTATATGAACAGCTTCGCTGGACTCGGGGGGTTTCAGATCAGACCCAGTTGAGGAATTGAATCCGTTGGAGTCCGCCTGGGAATGATCTAATCCGTTTTTCACTCCGTTAATCTGAACACGGGAATGTTTTAAGTTCTCCATATCCTCCATTTCCGGAGCCTCAGGATTTTCACTTATTTTGGGGAACACTTTTTTCCGCTTTCGCAGATTTTCCTCTACAACGGGAATTTCTTCAACTTTTTTCTCTTTTTCTTTAGAAATCGTTTCCAGACTAGATTTATTTTTACCCCTGGCTGCTGGGGAGTCTCTTGGTGAGGGAGCCCCTCTGCCAGGAGCCTTTGCGCCCCTACCCCTGAGAGCCGGACTCCCTCTACCGGGGGAGCTGGTTCCTTTAGCACCCTTTGCTGCACCCCTTGCCGGGGAGCGGCTAGGAGCACGTTTTATTTGATTAACGGTCTTCTGTTTAGCTCTAGCTCCCCCTTGTGGAGGAGTAGGTGGTGCAGCTGAGCTGGGTGCACGTCCCTTCCCTCCACCCCGCCCTGACATCCTCACCTTAAATATAATAAAAATAAATAAACAGTACGTATAAGAAATGTATATTGTCAACGAAATTTTCGAGTGCCATTAACATTCAACATTTCAAAATCCTATCATCATTAATTAGGATATATTTGGTATCTGCGAACATCTTGTATCACAGCTTTCATAAATGCGAACTCGCGGATTTCTGCGGATCAGATTCACATAAGTAAAATGGCATTTTTGTGAATCATTGATGGTATTCTTTCAAAATAAGTCACTTAAAAATTTAAGTTGACAATCCCTTTGATTCACAAGGTTTTACACAACGAGGTTATAGTGTATAGAGTGATGATGTACGCTAATCCTTACACAACGAGGTTATAGTGTATAGAGTGATGAATGTACGCTAATCCTTTATTAATTGTATAGGCCGGTGTCCTGCATGGAGCGGACTCTTGCATGGGTGGATTCAAACCCTAAAATTAAATGCGCATTTAGTTCCTAAATGTATTTGAAAGGGGCTAAAGGCAAAAAAGGTTATTTCCTCTCATGAATGTCGTCATCCTTTCAAATCATCAAACATTTAATATTTACTCGAGACATAGATTAGATAATTTTCAATGTGTTTTTCAAATCAAAATACATTAATAAATATCGGAAAATATCATAACATAGCTTTTTATGTCTAACATTGTATGTATTAAAATGGTTAAATCTTTAGGGGGAGTCCGGTCCATGCAAGAGTCCGCTCCATGCATGATACCGGGAACTATACCGAGAGGACCGAGAGCGTACTGCATATTTGATTATTTTAAGGAGATTCTGGCCTACCTATAGTATAAAATATAAATATAAGCTCTAATATATAAATCGATCAACGTTTATAGTTCATCACGTTGCATTGGATATTTTGCAATAAATCTCGAATATGAATTAGAACAGCTAAATTTCAAGGTCGTCACATATAAAGAATTTAAAGATAAGATATCAAGAACATTTGGCTAAACATCACTTGATATAACGTTGACAGATGCTATTTAAACGAGAGGAAGCGAAACCATAGAGCAAAATATCGAGAATAGTTCAGTTTTAGGGATTGTAAGCTTTTTGATGAGCACCGGGCATTGGGCAATTATTCTAAGAATTTTGGGAATTACGTCATCAATGAGTAATTTTCTATATTTAACAAATCCTTGATATTTATTTTAGTATCTTTAGCGAAAAAATAGAGAATCAAAATTTGCCAACAAAAATCAACATAAACTGAATAAAAAATTAATTGCATTTTGAGCGGCCATCATAGTTTCGATTCCAAAAAGAAATAGAGTTTTAAACTGTTATGAAAAATATTACTTTTTGTTTAACCTTATACCTTAATTAAACCCAGCATTAATTGTTTAACTCAACATTTTTAACCAATTGTTGTACTGTATGGAACAGTACAGTGTACAATGTACATACATACATTGTACTCTGTAAAAATCGTGTGTTTTTTTTACATAGATGATAACTCTGATTCAATTCAAACAGTTAAAAAATAATTCACTTTATCACAAAAGGCACTTCTTAAACCTCCTTATTTTGCACGGAAAGAATTAACCATAGCAAAACGTACATAACATTGTATAAATAAATAGAAAAGCAGGTAACAAAATAATATACCAAGTACCCTTAACGTGAAATATACTAATAAATGTGACCAAGAGAAATAGGATACATTTAGGTAAATAATTCACGGGGTTACTCCACCAAAACAAAAAAGACCAGCAAAGACGAATTAATTTTTTTAATCGATTATTTTACTTCTATATTTTGAATTTCCCACAGAATGAGTATTTACCCCTACCGGACAGCTGGTACTATCCAAACTTCAAGGGAGGACACATGCTGGTCCCACATTAAACATCTGAATTTTATGAAAACTAAGATAGATCTGGACATGAGATCAGGTTTTTTATCATTCTTCATTTTTCCATTACAGCAAAATTCACTTTATTAGAAGGAATATTTTATTTTGCATTTGATAGGGATAGGGTAGGTTGATTTGAATAAACTTAGCTATCTTAGATTTTAAATGGCTTGAATGGTATTTACAATTGTCTGAAAGCAAGTCTTTAGAGTCTCGGTTAAGTAGCTACTTTTCATGAGCAAAGCTTAATGTTATATTTGTTAATTTTTATACAAACGAAAGTTAACCAACATTCTGCTTAACCATAAAAACGACAAAGAAATGGATTTCCTAACTCAAATTTTCTAATTCCTATATTATATCATTGCAACCTGATGGTGTAAATCTTTGATATTTCAAACTTAGATCATTTGATCTGACAGAATTTATAGTTAAAAAATATCAAAGGTATACGACTTTGGGATGCAAAGATATAGGGATTAGAAATTCAGTGTGTGGGAAAGACTCAATTTCTTTTAAAGTTTAGATTTTAGAAGTTTATAAGTTTTAAAATAACAAGAATGTGTTTTCTAATTTCTAAACCGGGTTAATTGTACTGCAGTAGGCTCATCCTAATTAAACAAATTTACAAAATGGTGGTAAATTAACAATCTAAAAATTTACAAAAACTATTTTTGAGTGTATTAATTTCCCCATATATAAGATGGTTTTCCCATGGTCCTAGTACAGTTACTCCCCCCCCCCGGAACCAAGCTTAAAAACAGGTATATTTCTCACCAATGACAGGTATAGGCCTAGCAGGCCTAGCCTGGGCTAATGAAGAGGGTTCTATAGCATCTATTTATATTGTTAATATATGAGATGTATAGTTTGTGAGGAGGAGACTGATGTGACCTAGTTTATATCTCACAGTATTCACTGCAATATAAAGGAAACAAAGCAACAAACACACACTTTGTAATTACGAACACAAAAATACATATATTCACCCTCATTTATACAACACAATCGCTATAGTCACAAACTCTGATTTTCTAATCACTATATCTTTGGAACCAAATGTTACAGACCTTAGATATTTCAAACTATGAGTTCTGTTGAATCAAATAATCAGAGTTTGAAATATCAAAGGTTTACAACATCGGGTTCTAAAGATATTGGGGTTTAAATATTTGATTTTGTTACAAAAACTCAATTCCTTTACAGGTTATTAACAAGCAGGCCCGTAGCTAGGAATTTCTAAAGGGGGGGCACAAAAGTTATAAATAGCATATATTAAGTAAGGGGCGCGCCGTGGGTGAAAAAATCTTTTTGACCTGAAAAA